CTGTGATCCATGCTCCAAGGTATTTGTACGAAGATATTTGTTCAATTTCTGTATTATCTAGTACTAGCTTAACTTTGATGTTTTGTGCTTTTGTAAATACCATGAACTTGGTTTTCTTCAAATTGATTTTTAGTCCATAATCGTTGCAATATATATTTAGTTGTTCAGCAAGGTGTTTCAGTTCTTCTAGTGTTCCTGCCAAAAGGACGGTGCCGTCAGCATATCTTATGTTATTAAGTGGCTCACCGTTTATTATAAGGCCCTCACTGATCTCGGCAAGCGCTAATTCTGAGATGGCTTCACTGTATAAATTGAATAACAAGGGTGATAAAATACACCCTTGGCGGACCCCACGGCGAATCTGGATATCCTTGGTCAGTTCGTTTTCAACTTTCACTTTTGCTGTTTGATTCCAATAGAGGTTACAGATGATTCTAATGTCTCTACTGTCTATGTTTTTATTTAATAAAATTTCTTTAAGTCGATTATGCTGCACTCTGTCAAATGCCTTCTCAAAATCAATGAAACAGGCATATACTTCCTGATTAATATCTAAGCATCTCTGCGAAAGAACACTTACTGCAAACAGTGCATCTCGTGTTCCCAGTCCTTTCCTAAATCCCATTTGTGTATTACTTATGCCTTCATCTAATTTCTTATGTATTCTATTGTGAATTACTTTTAAAAACAATTTAAGACATGACTCATTAAGGCTATGGTGCGATGTTCATTGCACTCCTTTGCATTGACTTTTTTGGGAAGCAGTATGAATGTTGATTGGAGCCATTCTTTAGGTATTATACCTGTTCTATATATGGTATTGAATAGATCCAAAAGAAGATCAATAGATTCAGTATTCACAATTTTAAGTAATTCGATAGGAACTTCATCAGGCCCGGGAGATTTACCATCTTTAGCTTGTTTCATTGCATATTCAATTTCTTCTCGTATAATGTCAGGCCCAGTATCATCCTTAAATTCTTTTGGTGCTTCTGTTCTCTCTTTGTCTTCAAATAGTTGTGCTATATATTGTGTCCATCTCTGCATTTTTTGGTTTATATCTGTTATAAGTGCACCCCTTTCATCTCTTAGTTGCCTAGTTTGAAGTGTTTTTCTCATTCCTGTTAATTCTCTAATTCTTTTATGCATGTTAAAAAAGTCATATTTTTTCTCAATTTCTTCTAGTTCTTGGCACTGCTCATGTAACATTCTCTCCTTAGCTTCTTTTATTCTCTTTTTTATTAATCGATCAGTTTCATTATATTTAATTGGATTTTTTGTTTTGAATGATTTTCTTTCATTCATTAATAGTAGTATTTCTTCAGTCATCCAATCTTTATGTTTTCTATTCTTTGGTTTTAAGTTTTCATTTGCTGTTTTAATTATTGCTGCTTTTATATTTTCCCATTTCTGATCAATGTTATAGCTACTTTTATTCAGTTCTTGGGCATTACGTATATTTTCAGTAAGAGTTTTTACAGTTTGTTCCTTTGTTTGTGGTTCCCTTAATCTCTTAATATCAATTCTACTTTGTGTGGGTTTTTTAACCAGTTTTAATTTGGTTCGTAATGTGACTACTATGGGGTTATGGTCTGAACCGATGTCTGCTCCAGGGTAAGTTTTGGCAGACAGTATAGAATTACGAAATCTTTGTCTAATAAGGACAAAGTCAATTTGATTTCGGATTATTCTATTCGTTGTATCACCGGGAGATTTCCATGTATACAACCTTCTTTTTGGTAGCTTAAAAAGTGTATTAGCTATTACAAATTCTTCCGTCTGGCAAAATTGTATCAAACGGTCACCACGTTCATTTCTATTTCCTAGACCATATTCCCCCACATATCCATCCACTCTTCCCTGGCCAATTTTGGCATTGAAGTCGCCCATTACTATTGTAGTGTGATGTTTTTTCATTGATTTTAAGACTTGTTCCAAATCATGGTAAAACAGTTCGATATCGTCGTCATCTTTATCTGCCGTAGGAGCATAAACTTGAATAAAATTTACTATACCTTTTTTAGACTGTAGTTGTATTGATAAGATCCTATCAGAATAAGGAGTAAAACTTGCCACAGAGTTATTGACCTTTTTTGCAACTAAGATAGCAACACCGTAACGATGATTGACCTCGTTGTTACCTGAATAATACATGGTTCCATTATTTGTAATTTGTTTGCCTGAACCTGGCCACTGTACGTCACTTATACCTAAAACATCAATTTGGAGGTTTTCCATTTCAAGCAGTACGTTCGCTAATTTACCACTTGCATATAAACTTCTGACATTCCAGGTTGCTATTTTCAATGTCTTAAGTCCACAGGGATTTCTCTGGTTTACGACCTGGGAGGCCCTGTGATCTACAGTTATTCCTCCCCTGCCGGATCTTGGATTCCGTGCTCCATAATCAGTAAGTTTGTTTACTCTACTTGTCATTTGCCATTCATGACTTTACTAGGGGTACTCTAAGAGTCTTTAATGCAGTGGTTCCCCGTTGCCTTCTGCATCCTTACGCCATTGACATATTTTTCGATTCATCCGCCTTTAGGACCAGTTTCCCAACCCTTGGACAAAAGAGTGCCCTTCCACTTATTAACTCATCCGCCCGCAGCCGTTGGTCATAAGTGGGGGATTGCTTATACCGGCAATCATTCGGTGAATTACCTGTTGGTCCACTGCCCTTCACTTCCATACAATAGCATAATCTGCTTTGAAATTCTTCTCTGAGATTGCTTAACACGTTTGCATTTAATTGTCGACATTCATCCTCTATTCTTTGTCGTATATCATCTAGAGATTCTGGTTGAGTAGCATAAATTTTTGTTTTTAAATACCCTTTAAAGAAAAAGTCTAGGGGTGTTCAATCCGGTGACCTAGGTGGTTAATCGATCATCTATCGTCTTTACCCTATCCAAGGACCAAGAAACGTTTGGTTTAAAAATTATCGCACAGGTAAAGCAAAGGGTGGAGAAGCTCCATCACGTTGAAATACAACCAAAAGGTTATCCTTAACCTTTGATAAAACTTTAATAAAAAGTGAATTTTTTATTTCTTCATTTTTAGAGGTACTACAAATAGTAACGTTAAATATTTAAAAAGTTTAAATTATGCTACAACCTATTTTGTTACAGTCATTTAAGGTGAGAGAGATACTATCCTTGTTAACAGGAAAATTGTCTATCTCATAAACTAATCATTTCAAGCCAAAGGTATTACACATTTTTAGAATCAACACAAAAAGGAGAATCCAAATATAAAATAAACAAAGGGGGTAAAACTTTATCATTACTACCAGCATCAATTATTACTTCATAATTTTCAAATCAAAATATTCCGAAAACGGCACACAGTATCGAGTTTTACCAAGAGTACCTTTTTCGTGTAAAATTGAATGATGTTTAAGTTTACTTGAAATTTTGATAAATAATTATACTCTTAAAAAAGTTATATCGACTAATACTTAGTACGATCCGTGTAACTAGCACCCTCTATGAGAATCAGATATAAAAACAAATTCATGGGATGTATCAGCTTCCAAAACATATTCGTATAAAATTTCATTACAATGTTGCCAGTAGTTTCGGCAAAATCGTAAAAAAAGCGTAAAATTTTTTTCTTCAACGTCCTGTATCTTGAAAACGGATGACGTTACAAAAATTTTTTACCAGGCAAACCCCAATTATTTTTCAGTTTTTTACCTACCCTAGAGACGGGGTCACCTTTTTTTGAAACACCCTGTATACAAACACAAAGAAACTCGTCTATCCAACTATACACTTTTTGTTGTTTTATGTGTATTTTAACTTACCTTTCTACTCTCTTACTAGTAAATTGTGTATTACCTACTATTTGGATGCTAGGTAAATGCATCATAACAGATACTGACACGTAATGACTAGCACGTAATAAAAAAAAAATTACGCTTCAGTTTTATAAAAATGTGTAATATCACATAAGCCTCGTAAGTCAGTTGGTCGAGTTACCATGGAAACGAATTAACAGACGTTATTTTGACAGATAAAAAATTATTAATCTGTCAGTGTAAATATAGTGGTAATTTAATTTTTATTTTTATAAACGAAAATAATGGTAGAAAAAGTATAGTACACAACTTGAGTTGTAAGTTTATTACATGCTTGTAAAATTACTGCGCTCGCCGCTACGCGGCTCGCGCGCAATTTTTTTACTCGCATGTAATAAGCTTCTTACAACTCTCGTTATGTAATACTATTAAAAGTGTCAGTCTAATTGTAAAAGTGTAGTACACATTTTTGTCTTGTTTTTTTTTTTATAAACAGTTCTACCTCTGTGAATAAATGCAACCTTTCCTTTGACTGGGTCCCAGTCTACAAGTATAGTTAAAGATAACGAGAATATCAAGCTATCAAGCCACTCCGCAGTTGCTCTTGTCCCCAAGTTCTCCCGATCTAAACCGTATTCAGCATGATTGGAATCAATATCATATACAAGAACTGCATTTTGAAACTCTTCAGCACTTATGATACATTAGTCAATGAGTGGAATGAAGAGTAAAATGGAACGATAATATAAGGTGAATGACAAGAAATAGAGTAGTAAAGACGGCGAGAGATGGTTCCCCAATAGGAAGACGATCAGTGGGAAGACCACGAAAACGATGGAACGACAAGTTACTGGAGGCACATTGAAAAACAGACACAGTCATGTCTACACAAGAATAAGAAGACAAAGATTATTAAAATCAATCTTGTGTTAGAAAAAAATTGTGTCAATTACTTTTCGTAAGCTTTTCTTTGATAAATTTTATACATAAAAATATAATATTTTACACATAATAAATTAAATCAAAATAAAGCATTTACCTATATATTTGAAAAAAAAAATGTTAAGCACTTTCTAACAATATCGCTAACCTTTAATAAACATTGTTTATTGTTTTTTAAAGCATTTTTTGAATGATTTTTTAATAATGGTAAGTTGATTTTGTTAAGCAGTAAATTTTAATGCTACGATTATTTCAGGGTCTTAAACAAAACTGGGAAGAACTCCAGCAACAATATCAGGGACTTCCGATTTTAACGGACACCATACCCAAAATTTTACGAAAATCCAAGATGGAGGCAGATCTTAAGCAGTTAGAAAAAGACATTGTTCTATTAGAAAGACATCCGTATATTTATGTTTATGAGGACGATGAAATACAGTAATTTTTAGTTAAACGTTTGTTTAATTTAATCTTTTGTTTAAAATGGTTTTTAATTGTTAAGAAACTTTTTCCACTTTGCTTTATAGGTATGTGGTGTACCCCGAATTAGAAGATGTTCTTCTTCGCGTTCTACATTTCACATTTCACCCTACACATGAGTTGTAAACTATCAGACATTTTAGAAGTCTCTTTAGAGGTTTAAACGACTCTCGTTTCACATAAGTGTGTGATAGAAATGTCTAATAACGTAAGTTTGATCACGAATTTCAATGAAGATGAATCAGCGGCCTCGGCATATCAAAAACATTTTTTAGGACTGTTCAAACTGACTTACAACAAATTATACTGAGGTCCAAAACCTTGTATAATACCCGTCAATCTGTGACAAAATCGTCGATTTTATGTAAAAGTCCCGAGAAAATAAATTAACTGATTTTTTCCATAAAAAAGTTATTGAGTTTTACTAATATTTCGTAAGAAATATATCAATTTAAATAATTAATGTATATTATTTATATAAATATATAAATATAATTCTAAATTAATACTTCAAATGTTTTTATTTAAATTAAAATATGAAACTAAGCTTTTTGAACATTACAAGTAGAATTCAACTTCAATTTAAAAATCAATTTTTTTATGGAAAATTGAACAACTCCTAATTAATTTTCCGGAATTTTCCGATTTTTCCGGTAGGTGAAAATAACACAGTTCTTATGTGGTGCCATAGAGACTGAAATATGCAAATTTTTTCAGCGCGCTCCAATTTGAAGTTCCGTTATAAAAAAAATACAACATATTTAACCCCTCTCGCCCATCAACATTCTTCCAAAAATTAATGGAAAACAATGACAAAATGGGATAAAAATCACTAAAAAATAGACGCGATAAGGTAACTTTTAGAAAACAGGAAATACAATTCAAAAACACAAAGTATGATAAATCATCATTTTATGACAAAAATGTCTAAAAAATTTAGAAGAAATTATATATGGATAGTTATTTATCGCTATTTAAATAAGCCTTAAGACGATTTAAAATGTATTTGAAGATTTCATGATTAAGGTTGTTTGCCACAACTGTAAACATTTTTTTCTCAAAAACAATAACAAGATAAGAAGTTGAATTTAGGTCAATTATACCATAATTACAGCAAAAATTCATAACAATAGTAGCATCAAAGTTTACAAAATTGCATAAATTTTATGTTGCATAACATTGTTCTACTTGAAAAACTGCAGAAACTGAAACATTAAACAATATGAATTTAATAAATATAGAAATAGTACCTACTTAAATGCGTAATAAATAAGTTAAAAAAACTGAATTGTATATATTCATTGAGAACGGCAAATATTATTAAAATATTCATAATTACAATTTTTCCCAAAAAAAAAAAATAAAATAAAAAGAGCACTAACACAGAATAGAATGATTATAAAATGTTGCGTATTCACGGTTGAAAGCACGTTTTGTTACAATAATAATAAACATCTGCTTACAATGATATTAGCGCAAATATAATTATTAACAATTAACATTATTGTCGTTTAAATGTAGATGTAGTAAATACAAGAAACTTTTATTTATAGTTTTTGCTTCATATATCGCAAAAACTGTTAAATGTCATTGAAGAAATTGATCAAAAGAGAACAAAGAAGTCAAATCATGTCGACATGATCGTACACGATCGATTGCGTTATAACATAAATGAAAATAAATGCCACTTACTTTTGCAACGCCTTGCAGTTTTCTAACACCTTTTTCTTTTCCCAACCTTCTTCCGTTTTGACCCAGGCCTCTCCTGGAGATCGCCAATCTTTCGAAATAAATGGCATTCTGTATTGAGTTAACACTACAAACGATTCAAATAAACAGCTGATGCTGTAAATAAATAAATCCTGTCTGCTTTCTACACGGAATAAACAACGCATGCGTTTACGGTAAAGAAATGATTGGATTGGCCATGACCTTTTAATTTTTAATTAATTTTGCTCTATTGACATGCGTTTTAGAGTATATCTAAACTAATAGAAATTTAAATCAAAATATTTAAACATTGTAACTATGCATCTTTGCAAAAACTGGTCCGATAATAAAACTTTTCAAGTGAACTTTCAGAATTTCACTGGTTATGGAATTATGTTTTTGGCTGAATAACACATCCAAAATGGCCATATGTCAATTGTGTTCGTAGTTCTCTGTCATAACCTCGAAAATATTCTAGAAATCTCTGATAAGTTGTAGAAATTGAATTTATACTTCTCTTCTACTTAGTTAGGCGGAAAAAATCCATAAAAAAAACACTGTTAAAGGTAAACTTTAAACACAACAAATCTTATTTGATTCCTATACATTTATCTTTTTTAGCTTCAAATTTACCATGATTATTCCAGTAAGATGTTTTACTTGTGGAAAGGTTATTGGAAACAAATGGGAGGCTTACTTGGGCCTTCTACAAGCTGAATATACGGAAGGTGACGCTTTAGATGCCCTTGGCTTAAAACGTTACTGCTGTAGGAGGATGCTTTTGGGACATGTGGACCTCATTGAAAAGTTGTTGAATTATGCTCCTTTAGAAAAATAAAACTGTAGCTTTATGATTTATGTACATAATTTAAAAATAATTTTATGATAACAAAAATTGTTTGTAGTTAAGATACATTCATAATTTCTGTTTTAGTTGTACAAATAATGCATAGAGTTCCTTAGACCTATAATTTGGTTTTTGGAAAATCTTTGTGTAAGTAAAATATGTTTCCTTTTAGCTGTATTTGTATTTTTATATAATAAAAGTGTAAAATCAAAAATTGTTTTGTTTTTAGAAATTTTTAGAACTTTTAAAATGTGCATTGATATCCTTAAAATTGATAGTTATTTGGAATATAAGGTTATTTTCCAAATATGACATATAGATTATAGCACCATTGTAGTGTTGTAGACCTCTATGATTGTGCTATAATCTCAGTAGAAGTAGGTTAGAAACTCACCTAACTCCACAGATTTTTTGCTAATATATCTATAAATTACACTCAATATTTCTGTATATTCTTCTATATTTTGTCTTAATAGAAGTGTTCCAATATGATTCCTAATGGTAATTGTTTTAACTTTTATTTATAGATGGTATTTTCAATTATTTGGTCATTATTATTTCCCTATCTTAGCGCTACCTACATTCCAATACCACATATGAGTCAATGTGACGTTTTTCAGGAGAGAGAAAAAACTGATTTTTTCCTTTGTGGCATACATTCTAAATAGTTTTATTGCATATTCATTTATAACATATTTGCTTTTTATTGTTCGTAATAATAAAATTCCTAAAGATAAGCTTTGGTGTGTTTTAGGACACCTATGTGGTATTAAAATTATAATTTGATTTGATATGTAGTATTTTAGGTTTGTTATACCACATACATGGTACTAGAATTATTCATAAGTGGTAGCTCTTACTTATATAAGAATTGCTGTAATATGATTTTTAATAAGTATAGTGTATCAAGGAACATCACCCAAAAACTCTGTGTTGTTTTAAAGTTGATCTGATGGATGGCATGCATCGATATTAATACTGAATATTATGTTATAGAAATTTTACAATAATAAACTTAAAAATAGTAAAAGTAACAAATTCTTTTATTCAGATGAATAAAACCATACAGTAACAAATAAATTGAGTTTTATTTGTTCTTTTTTTGTTTTAAATTGGTTTGATTCTGATTTTTTCTTCTTATTCTCTCCTAAATGTTTATTTGCCTCGGCGGACTTTTTTGTCTTGCAGTTGTTGCTTAGGTGCGCTAAATTGTCATAGTAACTATGAAAATCTGGGGGAATAACACATTTTAATTCTTGTAAATGTTTTCATTTAGCCAATGGAATTAGAATCTGATTTTCAAGTAGAGCTAGAGGTTCCTCGTCAATCGGCACTTTATCCATTCTTTCCGGTAATATTTGGTATACATTCTCGTAGTTTATCCGTCATCATGTGTATCCGTCGCAATATATATCAACCGGTAATTTTTCTTTCAGACACTGTTGTTTTAATTAGTCTATTAAAAAAGAGACAATAGTGAAAGCTTGTAAGTCACTGTGTGCCTTATTCCACCAAAAGTTCCTGCAGTGTCTGGATACCATATTAAAGACAGTAAAATTTTAACAACACAATTTGGTTTTGTGGTATAATGCTGAAGCTTTTGTTAAAGGTGACAATTTTACTGCTTCAACATCAATGGTCAAATACTCTTCGTCTTTGTGACTACCTTTTATTTATTTATTTTCTTATTATTCTCCTTTCAACATAATTTTGTTAATTGTACCGTGTTTATTATCCTTTATTTTATCATCGTTGCTGTATTTCTCACAGTTGCTCACGATAACGCTTTTATCTAACTGACTACGTAGTTGTACCCAGTTGTGGACCATCCATTCATCCTAGAGGTATTTAAAAACTTCTTCTAGCATACTACTTTTTTCTCATCTTGAAGGTTTAAAGTACAGATGTAGAAACAACAGCGACGTGACAAAGTTTCAGGCTCAATGCTTTTTAGAGCCACAACCATGATACATGCGCTGGCGATCAGGTACACATATAACTTTACCTTGTTTGTCTCTTCGGTACCCCACAAATTGTTTTCCGATCATCTGAGCATTTTTGGCTGCATTTACTTCTTATTTATCTGGCTTAACTTTCTTGAGGCGTTTCTTTATCTTGTTCCTAGATACACTGGTTTTCTTGGAAGTTGTAGGCTGACTAAGATTTATTTCAGACTCATCGGCTTTAGGCAAAGTTTCTAAAGTCTTATGTTCTCCACAATTTATTTTAAGTCGATTTCATGTAGTACACATCAAGATGCTGGTATGGAAGATGTAGGCTAATCTAGTTTTATATTAGACTCATCGGACTTAGCACAGTATCTAGATTGATACTGTTTTCTATAATTTGATTAAAATCAATTTCAAATAGTACACATGTAGATTGTGGTAACGATATGGAACTAATATTTTCAACAAAATTGCACTATTAAACACTACAATAAATGCAAAGGCGGCAATTCATACGTTTTAAGTTAGAATATACATGTGCTGTTGTTCAGAGGTCATAGGTAGCGTGACTGATACAAGCGATTAGAACACATTTAGCAGAACACTTTAACATGGTATTGGAATTAATCAATTACGTGGTATTAGAACATATTTGCGAAAGAATCTGATCCGTGTTATTACAAGTTTATACATATTGTACTAAATAATGTGATCTGGTACTTGGGATTAGAAACATTAGATAGAGCGTGCGCAATAGATTCAGAGTCAATATCTAACTCATTTTGTCTAAATATTCTCATACGTGGTATTAGAATGTAGGTAGGTTATATTTTTTGTTTGTTACTTTGTTTTTTTTAATTCACTACCTAAATCAAGTTTCTTCTCTGTACCTATTAAAATTATTGTTTGATGGATGGCGAATATATCCCTGATACTTTGGTGAAAGATTATTAAGTGTTATTGTCAGTAAGTAAATTCTTTGAACCTGTTTTAGTTCCTGTATCTACACTAAAAAAGAATGTTATTATTTTAATGAATTCTAAACAGTGAGATGGGAAAAATAATGTTTTAAAATGTATTATGGTAACTCTGCTTCAGAATGTGTGAATCTACTTTCAGTTTTCTTTGAGGTCAATCCTTGACAGTGTAGGCATATGATTTTAAATATAAATAATTTCAAAACTCATTGTTGTTTCAATTTGGCAAAACAGTTCCTTGAATTAAACAATTAAATCAATCTCTAATCTTTACTGAATGATTGTGAACTCCCCACTCTCTAGAAGAACTGACAGTAGCCTTTATCTACAGTTTTCTTTGCCTAATGAAAAATTAATCTACTCTGTAAGCTTGTATAAATTAAAAAAGAAACCGTGGACAAAGTAAAGTAAAGACGAGTAAAAGAATAACTTAAAAATATCAACTTTATTTATAAACTATACAAACAAACTATTTCATTTTCTTCAACTTCAATAAATGGTTTCTCAACGCAATTTGTTTATCTTTGAAACTTCTCTTTACTTTCCCTTTAACTTTATGTCTAATCATCTGGAAGTTTTTGTTTTTCCTCTTCTCTCTATTTGTCTTAGAACAATTTTCATTTACTCTCCCATCTTTATAACCGAATTTCTCCCGACCCTCTTGTCCTCTTTTTACACTTTCTATCCTTGTTTGTTTGTCGTGTTTCCTTTTTTTATAAATATTTTCAATGTCACTCAGTTTCACTATTTCTGAGGGATTTCCAACTGGTGTTTCTTCTAGCTTTCGTTTTATGCCTTTTTTTGCTATAACTACCTGCTTCCTTAGATTTGCTGCATCAATCTTTTTAAAATCTTCATCTGTCAAGATTTTCTCTAAACTGATTTTTTGGGCTTGTTCTTTCTTTAACTTTATTGCTTCTGCTTTATTTTTCGATTTCTCAGCTTGCTTTTCAACTTTGGATTTTTTCTTTTCTTTAACTTGACTATCGCCTTCATTAAAATCATCTTCCTCTCCTTCATCATCATCATCATCCTCCTCATCTTCTTCATCTGCATCACCTTCACTACCTACATTATTATCGTCATCTCCCGAATGTTGGATATCAATCCATTCTTCATCATCAGATGCTGATTCCGAATCTGAATTGACTTCTATGTGAGTTTTTTCTGTTGAAAGCAACACTTCTGCACCTGGTATAAAGTCGTGGGCTTTAATTTTTCCATAATCAAGCTGGTCCATTTCTTCTGTTGCTTCTGTAGGTCGACCTCTATCTTTTTTATGTAAAAGTTCAGGGCGTACATTTCTGAAGAGTTGAATTAAAGATCTGTAACAAAATAATATTTATTACAAAAGTAAATAACTTTTGAAGGATGAAATTTAAACTAGTAATAATGAGCAGACTGACACAGATTCTGAAAATTCTTCCTGAGAGGAGAAAATGGAAATAATCATTACATTCTATAAATATAGACTGGAAGTTATGAGAGAATCATATATATGAAAAACTGTACTTTTTTTACATTCAGTGTTTGTGATTGATAATATTATCGAGGTTATACTCTATAAAATGTAGAATGCATTAAAAGTATTTTTCTTTGTATACTTTAAGCGCTCAAAATTGGATACTAATAAAAATATATAACCTCTAGTAACTTAAAAAAAAATTGACAGTAAAGTAAATGTTTTTTGGCATTTTAAAATATCTTCTGTGTATAAACGAAACAATATCTAACCTTGATGCCATCATAACAGATCTATCCCTATAAGTTTTATATTGCGCCAAGTCTTGCACCAAATCCTCATCCATGGCCAAGGGACACCTAGCACAAATCTCTCTGACAGCATTTAAACCAATAGCTATAACATCAGACGAATTTCTTTCAGTTATGAAATTATTAGCTAGAGTTTTCAGTACAGGCTGTAGCACATCTGGTGGTACAAGCTCATGGCTAGCTTGGGCTGCAAACTGTAAGATCCTGGTGACTTCACGCTGATGTGGCTGCATAAATCTTTGAATGTATGGATAGAAGTTAAATAGAAAGAGGTCATGTAGGCCTATAAGCCGTGAGATAACATCCAATGTGAGAAGCTTTACTTCGAATCTCTTGTTGGTGGTTTCTAGTTGTTTAAAAAGTTTTTCAGCCATACCTACAACACAAATATAAATTTTAAGGTATTAATAAAAATGATATGTATAGTCTTCTTTTGATTATTTTATTAAAAATAAAAAACAATATAAAAAACTCTAAAAATACAAATTATACCTTGAGGATCGTGAAGTAGATGAACTGCAGAAAAGTTAAAAGCTGGAGCTGCTGATTTCTTTTTTTGTTGTTTTTTGGCTAACTTTTTTACTTTGTCCAGTTGTTTTTCCCTTTTTCTTGTCTTCTTATTGAATTTGTTAGCCATCATTACCTCTTTTGGATCAACTTCATTATCAGAATCTGAATCGTCTGAGTCTTTTTCATCTGGATCTTTCCCAAGGAAGAATTTTAAACAGGTAACCATTACCTAAAAATGAAAGTTAAGTTAAAATGAGTTCAAGTTAGACCATAGTGCATCCTATTGTAAACAAAAGAACACCAGCTGTCATAGAATATTATATAAAATATTTATGAATGCCATAATTGAACAATTGACCATGCATATTGAGTTGATATCAATTAATTTTAACACCTCGTCTTTAGTTTTTCAGTATTACCCAATGTCATATATGTAATGAATTTTTTAACCTGCATTTCAAATTATTGCTTCAATTCGCTCATATACTATTATCTTAATCTATATTTTTCTTAACCCATAACCACAAAGGCAGAGTTGATTTGACTATCTGGCCAGGCATAGATGTACCTGTTCAACAATCAGTATTCAACTGTCAATGAGGCGGCTGTGTAGTTTGCATATGTTATTCAGATTTTATTGCAACATCAGTTTTTGACAGAGTCAAAAAGACTATAGGTCTGTGATGTTATACTTATTGTTGTCATATTTTATAAATCTGTTCAGTTTATTTTAGGTTTTGGTAATGGATTTCGATAGTAAAGCTGGTCCATCAAAAAAATCAGATATGGCGACACAAACTATGAAGAAACTTTGCTGAAATAGGCTGATGAATTCAATGAAAATAAGAGTGATGCTGATTCAGATTTCAAATTTAATTACAGCAATTACGAAATTTGGAGCAAGAAATGGAGGATAATTGTGAAAGACTTTCTACTGCAGATTATGATATCCTAACAGTAAAAAGATAAGTCATCACATGAAGTTTCTATAGAATACTATTTTTACAAAGAAAACTGTTTCAAATGGTCCAACATACCCCATATTCTAAAAATACATGCACTTTGCAACAACATTGTAATTAAGTGTCCAGGTATAAAAATTAAAAATCATCATCAAGCTCATCCAGAAGAAATTTGAAAATTTTTTTTTAATAACTGCATTACTCAAATTATTATTCAATACCCCAATTTACTCCTGGCAAAATTGAGGGAGAATTATCAAAACAAAAATTCAAATATTATTAGGGATTTTGATATGATTGAGCTGAAGTCTTTTATTGGAATGCTTAAAGCTATCTTCAAATCTAATCACAAAGATATTTATTAGATTTTTGCGACAGATGGATTGGGCAGAGATATATTCAGAGGTGTGATGAACTCTAATCAATTTGATGTCATACTTTTATGCTTACTATTTGATGACCCAGAAACTGGACTCTCATGAAAAAAGGATAATCTTTTAGCTCAAATCTCCTAGATATTCAATGCTTTTGTTAAGAATTCTCAAAGCATTTAAACTCTAGGTACAAACACATGTACCTATAGATGAAATGTTGATTTAATTCCAAGGACAATCAAGGTTTAAGATATACATGCCAGCAAATCCTTGTAAATATGGGTTGAAAATGATAGCTTTGACAGATGCTAGAACTGGATATGGATATATTTATTGTGGCAAAGATTCAGACAGCTTTGATTTGTCAGATAATGATAAAATATTCTAATCCCACACAAACTGTTCTAAAACTTGCTAAGCCAATTTTCGGTACACACAGAAACATAAGCATCAATAATTGATTTAGTTCCATAGAATTAGTAAATTTACCAAAATCAAAAGGCATATGTTGGAACATTAAAAAAAATAAGCGTGAAATTCCAGTGAAGTTTTTACCAAAAAAACAAAGAACTGCAACTTCTAGTTTGTATAGTTTTACCAGTGACATTACCCTACTCTCCTCTCTCATGTTCCAAAGATGTACAAGGCTGTTTTGTCAATGTATATACAATACAGTTATCACTTCACAACTTGATTGCATTGCAACTTGATGATCAGCAATATAAGATAGATGTAAGCTTAGTTTTCCCCATAATTTTGTTTCAGCTATTCAAATATAGGACTCATTTTACCTCCACATCTGTAGTAGTGTTCAGTTAATTAGATGTCTCTGGTTATGGGTTAATAAAACTTTATTTAAAGTGTCTATATTCATTTGGTTATCACCAATGTCACTCCCCTAGTTTTGTGTACACTAGCAATTATGTTATTATATGCAACAGGATAACAACTCTTAAACAATATTATGCAATAATATTGTTTAAGAGAGTATATAATGCAATAATATTAAAAAAGAATACCTTAGTTATTTTAGAGAAACATCCAGTGGCTATCACATTCACAGTCTTCACATCATTCCAAATGTTCTTCTTATAAAGTTCAATCATAATATCTACAGACATTTTTGCTGCTCTAGTATTAGTATCTTTTAACATTGTGAACATAAAATTTTGTAATGTTGTGTTTAATTTTGCATTTTTGTGTTTGCTGTTAATATTTTTGATGTCTGTTATTATATGGTTTTCCAAAAAGGATCTAAGAGACTTATCCTGGCACCTCAACAGCTGAAAAAACAGTTCTAGTAAATCAGTGGGTGCTAGTAAATTTTTATTCCTGAGTAAAATTAGAGCTCTGCATAAAGTCATTCTGGTATTGTTATCCAAAGCAGTATTGTGGCTTTGTAAAAGATCGATCAAAAGCTGAGGAAACTTTTCTAATTCCTTTGTATAACAATGGGCCACTTGTGCTAAAAACATCACCAATTCATCTAGAGTTTTATTGTTTTGATGAGGCGTTAACTTAAACACTTCCAAAGTATTGTGAAAATGTTTAAGTTGTTGCATAAATTCTTCATTATAAGAGACGGCATCCCTTTTGATAAGATTTTGTAATTGTGGAAGGTTATTTGGTAACTGATTATTGTGTCGCACCATGTTTTTATATATATTATTTTCAAATTCAAACTAGAACTAACATGCTTCTTTTAGATCAAAATTAAAAGGAATATAGCCTATAACCTCAATCTTTGTTGTGACATTTCTCTTCTTCTTTATGGTCATAGGTAAGAAGGTTTGTTTATGGTCTAATACTCTAAGATAACATTTTTATTCAATTTAATTATTTCAATTGTGAATAAAAACAATAAAGTTATAATTGCTGAGTGACTGTAAAATCAATTATATTTAATAGATATATACAATTTACATTGTTTATTTTTAATATTCTAAATTATTCATGTGTTTTTATGTCAATCATAACTGACTGTCAAGAGTGTCAAGTCATAAAAGCCATAATAAGTAGAAGAAAAAGACCGACACTGATTTGACTGATTGATTTGATTAGAGTGCCCTTTATTTTGCTGACTGAAAATAATATTGTTTAAGGATTCTGATCTTTAGAATATTGTTTTAGATGTCCCACAGTGACAGTGAAATCAGAGATGAAAAGAGACATAAACGCAGAAATCACTTAAATGTAAAATTTAAGAAGGCAAAACATATACGTTCCCAGTTAGAAAGGGAAACGTTTAGAAAGCTTAAACTTAAATTGGGTCCAGTATTAGAAATCAGACTAATACATGCTGTAAACACTAACAATGTTGACAAAGTTAGAGATCTTTTAGAAAGAGGGGTAAGTCCAAACAGTGCAGATTCAGAAAAACGTAGTGCTTTACATGTAGCAGTGAGCAAAGCATATTCAGAAATTGTTGAATTGTTACTAAAACATGGAGCAAACCCGAACAGCAGAGATATCATTCAAAATACACCTTTGCACTTAGCAGCCTGTGTTCACAATTTATCAATTGTAACCATGTTGATCAATGCAAAGGCAGATGTTACTTGCTTAGATTTACATGGCCGTAATCCATTCCAACTTGCTTTGAGTAAATTACAAATATTAAGAAAAAGTTGGAATGATGGCACCATTGAAATGATCAATTTAAAGCAGGAGTTAAAGGATGTAAGTTATCTTCTGGTATTTATTTTCGTCTGTATAGGTCCTTAAAAGAGACTTAACACCTACTTTTCACTGTGTAGTACTTGTTTCTTTTATTTTATTTAATTATTTATCTTATTTGTTTAGTTTTATACTAATATCAATGATTTGTAAAATTCAACATAAATCCTTGGTAGAATTATTTTTTCAGTTGTACATTATTGTATATTTTGTAGGTTGTAGACTTACTTTTATCCATGCTCTTAAGAAATGTGGAACAATCAATGGAAAATATGAATAAATCAGAGGTGGATGATTTACAGTTAATGAAGTTGTCAATAAATTCAGACCCTCCAGAAGAACTAGATAACCAAATGTCCAGGTTAATGTGTGGCATAGAAAAATTCACAATTGCATAAACAATGAAAATCAATATTTTAATAACATTATACACTGCTCTGAACTGTATCGTAAGTGTAGGTGTCTATGGGAGGTTTTTAAACTTTTCTATGTAAATCAAATTTTTACTTTTTTTTGCAAAACAGTTGACTTTACTATAAAAGAACACCATAATTTCCTTACTCTATTATTGCCATTGTTTTTGGATATTGATCATTTAATTGTTTTGTAGTTAAGAGTAGTTTTGTGTATTGCTCTTCTGTAATCAATTTGATAATGATCATATAATTAATCAAAATAGTATGGTTTCCATCCATTTGTGTACCTGGGATGATATTTATGTGAGTTGTCTTGTCTCTAAAGGTGGCAATTTTTTGTATGTTAGGAATTTAGTTCATTAGGTTACTGATTCAAAAGATTGATTCAGTGAGTCCTCTGATTTAAGATTAATTACAGAGCACACATCTACACAATTCCAGAGTCATATTACTCAACTTTTGACTAATCTCACATATTGTGCTATCTCATTGCTATATATATCTCTTCTTCTATTTAAAGCAATTTCCTATAACTGTGGTATTCAACAATTTCACAATTTATTTAGGTACTTGAAAATAGTAGTTTAAAATGCAAATTCTATTACAAACCAAATGAACATATTTATTTTACTTCTTTAGTCTTCCATACGATGATATTGCTATCTGTATTAATTGTATTTTTCTGGTCAAAATAGAGATTTTTCTAAGAAGCATAGTACAGGACAAATTTATCATGTTTTGCTTTGTTTATCTCTAGGTGGGAATGAATATGCTGGATCTAGCTTCTTAGAAATGTTTTTACTAGAAGTTTCTAAGCTTTTTTTTTCCTGGAGATTATTTGCTAATTTTTTTATTGGATAGAAAATTATAATAAATATTCACTGTGTCTGTGTTTCACCATGGTCCAGACAATTTTTTTGTTTTCTTCATTTATTACCAATTTGGAAGTTTTTTTAAAACCAAATATACTGTCTTTATGCAATTTAGTTACCAAATATGATGTACCTTGCACATCTTACTAAGCTCATTCATTGTTAGTCAATATTAACTGTTTGGTTCTTTTTATGTTGATCTATTAGGGCGTGAGACGAGGAGACCCAATGTTACCTAAACTTTTTAATACTGTCTAGAACATGCTTTTAAGAATTTGGATGGGCTGACAAAGGGAATAAAAGTAGATGGAAAATATCTAGACAACTTATGTTTTGTTGATGATTTAGTCATATTAACTGAGGACTTAGGAATGGCAAGAGAGATGGTACAGGAACTCATTGTGGCTACAAAAAATGTAGGTTTAAATATAAACATCTCCAAAACAGAAATAATGACAAATGTGATACCCAACCGGTATTGGTGGCTAAGAAGTAGAATTTGTAGATAAATATAAATACCTAGGACATAAAATTATGATTGGCAGGGATAATCAGACCTATGAACTGAAGAGAAGAATTGGTCTTGGGTGGGCAGCATATGGAAAAACGAGAGAAACTTTTAAAAGTGACCTGCCAGCATGACTGAAGAGAAAAGTATTTGATCAATTCATCCTTCCAGTGTTGATATATGGAGCAGAAACACTTACTTCAAAAAAAGCCCCAGCTACCAAACTGGATGAGATTGGTGAGGCCTATGTTCAGCAGTGGATTTTTGAGGCAGAATGATGATGATTAGGGCATGCATGGAATTACCCTCATTTTGGGAATAAGCTGCCTCAAAATAATTGTGTGTTATGTTTATAGAAAATTTTTCAGCTGCAAATGAATACGTCGTAAATATTATTTTGTTTTGATTTTGCCCTCCACAATTATTAATATAAAATATAAAGTTTATTATAATCCCACATGTAGCAAAATTCATCATTGCGCCCTATGTAAAATATAAAATTATAAATGCATAATTTTCATTTATAATAAAACATTGACAGTTCAGATTGAGGTGTGGTGTGAATTTTCTGTAAGTTTTAACAAGCAGCTATAGTTTCCAGTGAATTTTTAGAGATCTCTTTATCTGTTACCTTAAGTTGTCTTACAAGTCTTATTAGAAATGTGGTTAGGGTACTTTAAACCTTCTCTGCTTTTTAAAGAAGAGACAACATTGGTCTTTTTTTTTTGTTTCTTTAACATGTTAAATTGTTTGTTTTTGCATCCACTTGGTATCAAATCAAAAAGTTGAGAAATATTTAGTGTCTCTATATTATTTACCCCTACTATCCTCACAATAATACTGGGAAATGTTGACACATAATATATAGTATCTACCTACACAATTATGGGAACTTAGAAGCCAATGCAGCGAATAAAATTGTATACAGTTACGGTGTAGTTTTTAAAATATGAGAATTATTTTGATACACTATAGTATGATACAGTAGTTTCTGACGAAAATTGGATTTGTTTCAACATTGTATCTATGTTTACTTGGTTATTCTATAAATAATTAAAATATATTTTATATTCACAGTATTACTCCATTCGAAATGTTTCTTATAAATGCAGTTACTGCCACACTGAAGATATTGGCAGATAGAGCATAAAAAGTTGTATAAAAAGAACACTTTATCCCAAAATCGCCAAAAATGTTATATTACAACGTTATTCTATGCAGGGGTCGATGTTTCTTAGATTTATCAGCACTGAACCAAAAGTTACTTTATACCCAAAATAATAATGAAGCAGTTGACTAGGAGAAATTTATACTCATACAATTTTTTGTCCCAAAAGAAGCAAATGAGGCTGAGAGAGCAGTTTTTTTTATGAACAATGTCTACTTGGAATTTTATAAGCATGAAGAAATTTTACAGATAACTTAATGTAACTTTTCTACTTACAATTTGTAAAATGTATAATCCATTTTGTATGTGCAACATATTATCTACTTTACTTATATAGTATTTCGTCTGTTAACCTTCTGCAGCTAAGTTCCTCTGTAAGAGTCCAACTTTTAGTTTCAGTGGGAGATCAGATATAAATGTATTTTATATTAGATTATAGGTATGTAATAAATAAAAATATTAAAGTAAAAAAGTGTTTGTATTACTATTTCTCTGGAAGAAACTTGATACAAGGGGCTTAAAAATAAAAACAACTGGTGCAAATATAAATTTAATAAAATATTTAAAATAATAAATATAAATAGACTTTCTATTATTTAATAACAGAATTGTTTAGCTAAAATTTCAATAATTTAATCAAAAATGACCTTCGAGGTCTGGTCTACTCTGATGATTGACTGTATTATCATCTTCCTTATTCGTAAGTCTCTTGATTTTTGGTAACATAGCTCCCTTATGTCTACATTGAGGACAAGTATCGTTTACTTCAGCACCATTAATACACGCAGAATGAAAACAATGACCGCAATTCCATACATAGAATGATTCATTGCTGTCTAGTTCTTTTCTGTATAGGAGTATTTTTTGACACAGTGTGCACACAAGATTGGACACTGCTGTTCCTCTGCCTTTTGACGACAGGACTTTCACTAAACCTAGAAATAAAAGTACTAATCAGAAAATTAGTCTACCAAGTATAATAAATTGTTAAATCTCATCAAACAGACCAACTGTGACATTTTATGTGTATGAAAATGCTTTCTCTATTTCAGTTTAATTATTAATCAGTAACACTTTTAGAAAGTATGAATATCTTGTTAAAAGTTTTTAAATTTATAATCTATTCCTATGTCTGGCAAATATTAAATTAAATTAGTCATTCGAAATCACCTGCCTTAATAGGTGAAATGTAGCTGAAATCATGTGTCCATCATCAATTCTAGAAAATTTAGAATTCTATCATTGGCGGCGCATAAGAAAATATGTGGACGTGTATTAAGTCGTCCCTGGGATTAAAATTACCAATTTGTTTAACCTCCTACCTAAAGAATCATTTATCAATTCGTGAACCTGAGAACAGCAGCTAAATAAAAATAGATGCATGAACTCGTCCCCGTAAAGTTATGAATCAGTATTGAAAGTATTTTAATACAGAAATAAAATTAAAATATCGTTTTCTTATGTGGTATGATACAAGTTCTTTTGGTTATGAAAATTAAAATGTGTATATTTGTTATATATACCTTTTAATTCACCAATATTTTACAAAGCCATGCACACTCATCAATTCTATGTTGAAAAGTATTTTTTTATTAAGCTCAACAGGCCTTGAAGGCCTAGGGCTAAAAGATTTAATTTTTCCTTATAATTAATATTACATATTATATACAGTGCTTTTCAGATAAAACTATCCACCTTAAATAACTTTTGAACTTCTAATTTTTAGAAAAACCGCAAAAACACGTCAATTATTATTTGAAGGGGGAGACATTATATCATATTTAAGGTTGCTGGGAAATGCACCCTTTCACCCCCCCTATCATCCCTTTATTTTTTTTAATTACTTCCCTCTTTTTTATTTGATATTTGGATTCTCCTATTTGTACTGATTTCAGAAATGTATAATACATGATGCTTAAAGTGATTAGTTTATGAGAAAAATAAGTACAAAAGCAAGAAAATTGGATTGAAAAAAAAATATTTTTTAACAATTTTATTACACATTTAAAATGAAAATTTCACTACTAAAAATTTTTATAATAATTGTTCAAAATGACTGCCCTTCACTTCCATACAATAGTACAATCTATTTTGAAATTCTTCTCTGACATTGCTTAACACGTCTGCATTTAATTGTCGACATTTATCCTCTATTCTTTGTCATAAATCATCTAGAGATTCTGGTTGAATAGCATACATGTTTGTTTTTAAATACCCCCAAAAGAAGAAGTCTAGGGGTGTCCAATCCGGTGACCTAGGTGGCCAATCCATCATCTGTCGTCTTTTACCTATTCAAGGACCGGGAAACGTTTCGTTTAAAAATTATCGCACAGGTAAAGCAAAGTGTAGAGAAGATCCATCATAAAAAACAACCAAATTTTCGGAAAGGTTATCATCATTTTCTACTATTGTTCTAATATGATCAACCACTTGCCTATAGAATTCAAGATACGATGCACCATTTAAGTTTCCAGTGATAAAGAAGGGTCCGATAATGTGATCACGTAGGATACCACACCAAACATTTAACGTTTGAGGATGCTGTGTGTGAAATTCGCGTACAATATGTGGATAACTCTCAGCCCAGTATCGCCAATTATATCTGTTCACCAAACGATTTAATAAGAATGAGCATTCATCCGAGAAGCAAATATTGTTTAACAATTGTGAAGTGTTAATGATGCATTATATCAATTATCGCAAAATTCGGGAGTACGATCAAAATCTCCTTAATTTAACTCTTGTACTAATTTAATTTTATATGGATGAAACTTAAATTTACGGAGGACTCGGAAGCCTGTAGAAGATGAAACACCGATTGCTCTGCTTATTGCTGATAGTGACTGTGATTTTTAAGGCTCTAAGTTAAATTGCCCTAAAACAGCTACTTGGATTGCTTCGTTATTTACAAGTCCCTGTCAGTTATGTTTTTTTATTGCAAACTGACCCCCTTGCTCTAAATTTCTGCATCAGTTCAATCACATACTTATGAGTTGCATGTCTATTGTGGTGTGTTTCATTAAAAATTCTAGCAGCAGCTCTTGCACAATTATTATTTTTGTAGTATAAACCTACCATTTCGATTCTTTCTTGCAAAGTGTACACCATTTCAGCAATCAAATTGCACATGTATCAAAGTTTAAAACAAATGTATGTATACCTAAGTGGTATCAATTTCTACTCCCTGTAGTATTATATTATTTCGTCTTTTGTCCTTTTCCATTATGTCTATTTTATTTTCTAATTCTTCCTATTGTTGTTGTAATTGTTGGGTTTCTCTGTTTTCCTATTTCAGCTTTTCATTTTCTTGTCTCAGTTTCCTCATTTCCGCTCTGTACTCTTTTTGCTCTTCTTTTAGTTTTCTTATTTCCATTGCGATAATATTTAGGCTCTCCAATATTTTTTCTAGTTGCCTTCATTCCCAGGCTATACATTTTACAAAATGAAATCTTGAAATAGATTCATTTTTATATTCGTCTATTTTTTAAACTATACACTGCTTACGTCTTCGCACAGTTGGGTCATGTATTCTTGAATTTTCATACAAATGTCTTTGCATTTTTATATAAGTGCGTGTTTGAAATTGTTTTAAAACTTAAAACTAAAAAATGAAAAAACAACGGATGTGCCGAATAGAAACTGGCATTAAATTTTTCATGGAAAGATTTACATGCATTTATGCTCCTTTCTACGATTGCTTTCTACTATAGCTCGTAAACAAAGCAAAATACGACATTTTCGGAAATATAATTGTCCACCAAATATCGCAAACAATTGTAGAAACATTTCAGGTTGTATTTCCGAAAAATCGAAATCAAGATGGATTCAAGAATGGCAAACCAAATACCCAAAATACAAAAATTGCATACGAAAGCTGAACTCTTCTCTTGAGAGAAAATCTTGATTTTTCTCGATAGAACACTTAAATCAAAAGGTATCGAATTTTTACCGTCGAGCTGATACAAATTGTATTGAACATTGATTTCGTGCGCGTAACTGACATTCAAAAATCGACGATCGCTTCAAGTATTGTTTGTAAGAGAACGATTAGTCTACACAAAAAGTGCTTACAAACATTTTTGTTTAAAATTATCTCAGCTACATTTTTTATTTAAAACATTTTTTTCTACAGCGTACCGATTCTTGGTAAATCAATTTTTTGCGTTTTAACCTCCCTTCGTAGGGAGTTTTAGGGGATGTCCGGGGATAAAAGTGCAAAAACTTTTTTGTGTTTGTTGAAGGGTCCCAAAATTAATACTCTCCGCAAAATTCACATTGTTCGTATGATTTTTAGAGATTCGGGAGCATTTTCGTCTCTGACGACTGGAGTCTAGCTAGAGTTTCAATTTTATAACACATTTTAATGTACTCACCTAAATGCAAATCTTTACCCAACAACTTGAACGTGGTTGTAAGCATATTGATGTCATACGCATAATCATTTAATATGCCTTGCACCAATCCCCTCACATCTCCAAAACTGGCATTCGACACCAAGTTGAGCATCTGAGCAGGAGGTACGTGCGGAGCAGCTGCATGTAGAAGATGCCTTAGTGATAACCCCGAGATGCTATTCCGAGTTTGGAGCAATTTCAACCACAGCGACTGCGAATCTGAACAGAAAAAATGTTATTGTCAGAATTTGTCTTAATGAAAGGTTGTAGATTTCTTTGCTGCGAAAATAGATAGCTATATCAAAGGCAATCGGCTATAAACTAAACTTATTTGCGGTCTTAATTTGTTTACTGGAATATGAAAACATTTTAATATGGTGCTGAAACCATTTTCTTGTAGCACTTCTATGTATATTTAATGAGAGTTAACCATAATTTTAATGGGAAAATACGTTTTTTTGAAATTTTTACGTTTTGATCTCAAAATAACCAAATTTTCAATTAAAATTGTAATTAATTCCCATTCTTTGATTCATAAAAAATCAGATTATAAAATTTATCTGGTCATTTATCACTTATGGATATTTCGTTAATGTCAGTTTCTTTTTGATTAATAACATTTCAAAAATATTTACTTGAACATTATGCAAAGACAAAAAGTTAAGATTTGGTGTATAATACTTGATCTTTAAAGGTACCCCAATTAAATTAAAAAATTAAATTACCGGCAAATTGAGTTATAGTGTATAGTATAACTATTTACCTGTTCAGAATTTCTCTTGAACTTTGCCAATCTCTTCTCATTTGTTTGTTTATTTATTAATATTAGGTTACTATAATATACTATACTACTACTATACTATACTATATACTATTATATGAGATGGTGCACGGAAAAATAAATTTCTTTTAACTCCGCGATTTATTTGTTACCATTTGACTGTTATTTCAACCCGATCGAACAGCGACCTGGCTGTTCATCTACCTCGTCAAGCTTGCAATCTTTTCTTCGACCCTTTTCTTCTCAATATCTTCTTTTCTCTATGCCACAGCGTGGCGAAGGAAGAGATTGACATACTACGTTGTTCTGTCCAAATCTTAAGTGTTATTAAAGTTCTAAAATTCCCCAAAAACATTTGTTTTAGCAAAGAAATTGCAACTTTAATAATTCAAGTGTTGCCCATGACATAATACGAAAACTATATATATACATATATATATATATATATATATATATAACTATATATATATATATATATATATATATATATATATATATATATAAAAACGAAACCACCTATACTATATTTCCACTATTTGGAAGAGTGATTTCATCCTTTGAAGGCGGAGAGGTTCTTAATAGGCCACAATATGTTTATTTACAGGTTTTTACTGACGCTTCGATATCTATATCCAAAGACCGTTTTCAAAGATATAAATGATATATTATGTGTTTATTATTATTATATATTTATATAATCTTATTTATATAATCACATATTATTTATTTTCTTTTTTTTTACTTTAAAAACGATCTCTGGAATAGAGATCGAAACCTCTGTAAATTAAACATGTAAATAAATATATTGTGGCTTATTTCCAACATTCTCCCTAAAAATATAGAATGTCACAGCTATAGAATTAATATATCTATCATTTGTATATTTGAAAACGGTCTCTGAATATATGAAAGATCGAAACGTCAGTAAATTAAACATATGAATAAATATTTTGTGGCTTATTCCTGCATTCCCCTAAAAATACAGAATGCAATAAGCAAAAAGCTATAAAAAACAAACAAGCAGAACGTTTGTTGATGCTACCCAACTGTCGCGGAAGTTACGCTAAAACGTCTATTGACGTGACCTGACCAGGTTCTAATTTTGTTAAGATTCTCTTAAACCAGCTCTAAAGTACTTCGGAAGTCATTTCTTCATGCTAATCTCCTGTTTCTCTTGACTCAAATTGAAGTTAACCATCATCAAGGAACCCTGTATCACTTCCTATATTGATAATGATGAATCGTCGTCCAGAAGGAGCAATTAATCCTGTAAACCAGCCTTCTCTAAATGCTTCGCATTTACTTTTAACATTTAAATTTGAGGATATTCGGCGCTAAACGATGATTTCACTCTTCCAAATAGTGAATTTTTACTATAAATGAGGAACTTAAATATATAGAAAAATTCAACAGAGAGAAAGAATTTAGAGCATTCTATAAGAAAGTTAACATCAACAGAAAAGAATTCAAGGCATCTACAAGACAATGCAGAAGTTAGAATGGCGACCTATTAACAACAAGGAAAGATGTATTGGATATATGGGTGGAATACTTTAACCAGGCACTTAATATAGAGGAAGAAAAAGAAAACCTGGATGACGAAAGAGATAAGATAAGGGGAGGAGACGAGGGGGAAGAGGAACCATCAACGATTCTTGAAGTTAAAGATGCAGTTAAAAAACTAACCAGAAACAAATCACCCGGAATAGATAATCCCCCAGCTGAACTTATATAAAGAAGGTGGCCATGATACCATACTGGCATTACAACAGCTTATAACAGAAATATTGACAGAAATCCCTCCCCAATGATTGGAATACTTTGCACCATAAACAAAAAAAGGAGAAATATTTGAATGATCCAACCACAGAGGAATTACGCTTCTAAATGCAACGTATAAAATATTTTCCACAGTACTATGTCATCGTATGGCACCATATACAGAACGGATAGTAGGAAAATACCAGACTGGTTTCAGAGGCGGTAAACCGACAAGTCATTAGATTGCAACCCTGAAACAAATTTTGGAAAAAACACTGGAATATAACATTGATACATTGTCTGAACCCATGGACGTATAAACATAGATGGACACAGCAATAAGATACCTTTAACACACAATGTTTTGAAGCTTCGATAGAATGTGATGCTTCCGCAATGAGCATAAGCGTGCTTGAATTATTACTCGCGGGTAATTATTCAGATTTTAAAAATTGGAAGTAGTAATAATGTATAAAAACACGTTCAAAGAATTTAAAAAAACGAGAGTTTAACTATTAACAAATCACGTCTTTATAGAAAAATTAAAATACAATTTTATTTGCTTTAAAATTAATACAATAAAATATAGTTGAATTCAAGTTAATTTTTAATAGGTATCAAAATAATGCTACAATAAAAAATCTTTATGTTTTCTCCTAAATTTGCTACCAAAATAGTTCGATCGTCAATATTATTTGGAAACCTACATAGAAAAATAAATGAGTTTTATTCATTTCACTAATTTATTTGCATCCATGAGAAATATTAAATTAAAAAGGTACTAAATAGATCTTTTTTAATCAGATGATGTCTACTTACAATTTAAAAATGTCTACTAATTTCATGAACTTATATCTTATTTAATACATTAATAATGAACATGAATAAACCCAATGGTACGCCTATTAAAATCTAAACAAACACGCTTCCTCATCTTAAATAATGTAAATTTTATGTACTTACAAATGAAATAAGAGATCGGGATGTAAATATTTCGTTTATTTTATTTCACTTTTCACAAATATCACTCAAAATACAGCCAAAATATCGAAAAACAACTTTTACTAAAAAGTAAACAAACATGGCACAGCATTTGAAGTTTGACGTAGATCCATAAGACAGAGATGTGTAAACAACCGTTGCCATTTATAAATAGTTTTCAGTGCTTGTACATATAAAATAATTGATTGATATCTAAATTATACGTTATTATTAAATGATAATGCACACTATGTGCACACTTTATATTTTGATTACAATTAAATATATTAATCTAACCAATAAATTATTATTTTGGTTTGATAGCACCTGTAGAGTATAAAATACGGAGTAATATTTTCAGCGACTCGCGATTAAGAAATTTTAAAACAAAACATGACAACAGCTGAAGGTGCTGAGAATGTGACCTATTCAAATAATTTTGACTTCACAATTTTATGTAAATAACTGAGTCCATCTGTGTTTATACGTCCATGTCTGAACCTTTTAAAACAAATAACATGCCGTGCCATGGAAATCCTCTCCCCTATATACTGTTCAATCTGACTTTGGAAAAAGTAATACATATGTCACAAATCACAACCACTGATTCAATATATAATAAATGAGTGCAAATTCTGGCCTATGCCGATGATATCAATATTCTTGGGAGAACGGAAAACGTTGTACGAGAGGCGTATGTAGCATTAAAATATTCAGCTAGAAAAATGGGTTTAATAATATACACCAACAAAACGAAGTATATGAAAATAAGCACGCAACCACAAATATTACGACGACTTGTTATAGAAAACGACGTAATCGAAGCAGTGAACGAATTTGTCACCCAGGAGTGCTCGATGCTATTTTGGGCTCAATCTCCTCCCTAAATGCACAATTATATCCAGAAATACAATAAGAAAACTCTACAAAACAATAATACGTCCAGTCCTAACATATGGTTCAGAGACCTGGACTCTAACAAAAAATAATGAAAACATGTTAAGATGTTTCGAAAGACTAAGGCGAATTTATGGAAGTGAATGACAATGGAGTGTGGAGAAGATGATACAATTTCGAACTTTCGAGAATATACCAGGAACCTGATATCGTAAAACATATTAAGATAGGACGTCTGAGGTGGATAGGACAGCTAGAAAAACTCTCCTTACTAGACCCATTGGTCAGGGAAGAAGAAGAAGACCTAGAACAAGGTTCCTTGATAACATTGATGAAGACATGAGAAATATGGGAATACATGCTTGGCGGAGAAAGGCGATTAATAGGGATGAGTGGAGAGAAATTCTTGAGGAGGCTAGGACCCACCTAGGGTTGTAAAGCCAGAATGATGATGATGACGACGAATTAAATATTAGCGGATTGCAAGATCTACTTGCACGTTCACTTCTTAGACTTCCAACCATGTATAAAAACGAATTAAATTGTATATCATAAAGATTTAAGATATACATTAAATTCTATGAAAAAATACTAAAATAGTAGCTAATAAACAACTATGAACTTACCCTCAGGCGATAAATGTTCTACGCCTCGTATACACAAACTGACAGCAGCATCGACCATTTCATGCGCCAAAAACAACTCTAAAGCCTCCATCCATTCCCCGCTGGACTCCAAAAGGAACGCTACAGCTTCATGGACCTCATACTTTCTGGTAATCTCTAGAGCTTCCTCGTTCCTACAGTTACTTGATTGAAGATAATTACAAACTTGTGACTTATTCCGCACACATAATTGCTCTAAATACTTCTCCGATAGTTGTGACGTTAGCTTAAGGTCTGTTTGAACTATTTCACTTAAAAAGTCATACTGAAGGTTCGGATCACTTTCCAAAATATCACAAAGTTGTTCTAACAACGACTGGAAAAATTCAGTCACTATCTCTACGGTCTTTTTAGCACTTATCGCGACTAGATCTTTAAAACACACTAGGAATTGTTCTCGAACGAGTCTTTCGCTTACGCTAATGTACTTAAAAATATAACTAAATACTTCGTATTTACGCACTGGATCGTGAAGGTAACAATTCAAGATGCTGGAATAGTCGCCTTGCATTTCATACAAACGTTCTGCTACCTAAAAAACAATGGTTGGTTAGTATTTTATGACATAGATATAACATACTAGGTTTGTTGATAAAGCTTTTAAATGTTATCAACGAGTGCGGGTTTTCACTGCCAGTATTTTATAATGCAATTTGGCCATTGCCCGGAATTATTTCTTCCTGGTGTTTGGTTTGAGACTGCGGTATATGCCAAACAGAAGACAAAAGACCATTGCATAAAAGCAGAAAAAATTCAGGAAAAAACAATTTCGGATCACAGTCTAAGGTCTAATTGGATTCTAAGGACATTATTAACTTGGATGCCCGTTGCTATCACTTTACGTAACTAAAGATGTGCTCCCGAAGCTTTCCGAAGAACAATATTACAGAAACTATATACAGAATGGATCAAAGATCTGGAATTATCGCTTAAGGTTGATCTTCACCCACAATCAATTTGTTTCTGATCCTAGAGATGGCTCTACTGCGGCATGCTGCTCTGGTAATTTTTTAATGATTTACATAATGACTCTGTAATAGTTTCAAACCCTAATATAAATTACAGTTTTCTATCATTATATCCATTGCCTGAGTTGCCAAGTTGTGTCGACAGTAATTTTATCAAATACGCTATAACTTATATGCTTACTAGTAGACCAAGTAAGCAAAGATATCTTTAACAACATCTTTATGTATAATATTTTACTGCTCTGCTGTGTCAATCGGAATATAATACACCAAATAAACAAAGTTACGCATTTGCAGGAACGTAAGGTTTCATCCACATATATTGAAAAATGATCCATATTTATAACACTTTTATCGACAAAGAAGTACTTAGCGGCGATATCTGTGAATATCGTATTACCATTAAATTTATACATGCAATCATATATTAGATTTTTGTTGATAGTTAAAAATTAAATTATCTGGTATTATTAAATATTTTAGTGGGAATTATATGAAAAATGGTCAATCGTCAAAAATGTTATTTAAAACATGCGAACATGTCTTCCTTTTTGGACTGTTTATTACTGGTTTCAGGTTTATCTTGCTAATTAGTGCGTCTTTTTCTCTGCTTTGTATGTGTCCAAACCATCTCAGTCTTTGTGGATTAATAAATTTTACTATGTCTTCCCCTTCGATTATATTTCTTTTTCTTATTTCATGCTTCATTAGTCTTCTATATTCTCCTTGTTCGGGCTTTATTGGGCTGTTTATTCTTATAATTTTGCTTTTAATAATTCTTACTTTTTCTTTATCTTTTTCGTAAGACATATTACTTTAGCTCCGTATGCTATCACCGGTCTAATTACTGCTCTATATATTTTTGTCTTTGTTTTTTGCTGTTTTTTATCCTTAAGTAGTGGGCGATATTTCCAAAACACAACGTTCTTCTCTAGCCTTGTGTGCGTGGTAGTGTCATACGTTGGATGTATGATTTGGAGTGGTTGATGCGTATTTAGTTATAACGGTTCTATTTGGTCTAATTAGTTCTTCAGTTTCCGTATTCGACCTTATAACGCTAAATGAGTAACTGAAAAGTGGTATTGCGTATGTGTTTATTGCTTTTACCATGTGATTGGAATTAAGTTTGCTTTTAAGTATTATTAATATTATTATTATAATACAATGATATCGAGCCAAAGCAGAGCTTATGTGGCCCAAATTACAAAATATTTGTATGTACTAAACTAAATAATATAATATAAATCAAATATTCTCACAAAGTAAAAATAAAATAGAAAAAATATCAAGAAAAATAAATTGATGACAGATGACATCTTGAAATTAATGGAACAACCTCGACTGATAAAATCTAATGAAACAGAATATAGACACCTACAGGGAAGAAAAAAAATGAGATTAAATTAGCCAAAGAAAAATGAATGAGAGAAAGGTGCGACGAAATGGAGGATGTAATATGACTTATTTAATGTGCACAAAAAAACTAAAAGAAATGAGTAACATATTTAAAAAACCCTCTGTCAAAGTTCCCTCTGTGCTCGTTGACAACAATAACAAAATTATTGTAAATGAGCACGAAATAAGAAAGAAATGGCAGCTGTATATATCAAGAGTTGTTTGAAGATGGCAGGATTAGGATTAATATTTCCGAATTCTACCAAAACTATACTGACGGCCCAAAAATTATGAAATGCGAGGTAGAACACGTTATAAATAATGCTAAAATTAGAAAAGCTTGTGGTCCTGATAATATACCAACTGAGTTGCTGAAACTAATAGAGGATGATAACATAAAAGTAGTAGTAAGACTTTTTAATTCAATATATAACACCGGAGTGATTCCCGCAGATTGGCTCAAATCCATCTTTATCGCAATACCTAAAAAACACAATGCGAGAAGATGCTCAGAATATTGATTTGTTAGCCTAATGAGCCACACTCTTAAAATTTTACTTAAAGAAAACTTAATCCGTTCTGTTATTAAGAATACTTAATAACAGAACTAGACGCAAATGCAAGGAGATCTCTAAGATACCCAATTTGGTTTTAGAAATGATATGGGAACCAGAGAGACACTTTTTGAGCTTAACATTCTATTAAAAAAAATGCCGTGCCCAAAGAAAAGATGTATTTGCATGTTTCGTGGACTTCGAAAAGGCATTCGATAAAGTACAGCATGTAAAATTAATGCAAATACTGAAAAAAATCGGAATAGATGACAAGGATACTCGTGTCATTAAAAATTTGTACTGGAATCAAACTGCTATCGTAAAAATTGTAGATAACTACACCGATGAAATCTCCATACAACGAGGAGTCAGACAAGGTTGCATTTTGTCGCCAACATTGTTCAATGTTTACTCGGACCAGTTATTTAAAAAGGCACTTGAGAGACCCATATGGAATAAAAAACAAGAGGTAACTACTTAATGTGATTAGATATGCAGACGATACAGTAATTCTGATAATATTGGAGGTGTCCAAATTGTGCTTGATCGTATTCACGAGGTAGGAGAGGATATGGGCATTAAAATAAACTCAAACAAAACCAAATTTTTAGTGTATTGGTTCATGGATCTGATGTTATACACTCCTACGGTCCGTCCCAAACCCTTTTTTTCAGTGCGTCACTAAATGTGACGTCATATAGGATTTTAAGATTGTCGAAAATTATTGCTTGACATTTTAGTTAAATCTGACAGTTGCAAGATCGTAATCGACTAAATGTAAAAAGGTTATTTTTCTAAATAGATATGTAGTCTTTGTTCTTTCTCGGTATATCTCGGCATATTTAAAATATTTTTATGACAATAAATACAAAATTAAATTTTCACTGTAAAATGTCTGAAGATACTAACCTGGAATGACAATTATCATTTTATCAGTTGACATTGTGAAAGTATTGTCATGATCAGGATAATCTGCGTCAAATTATATTTATGCGCATCATTGATTGGATAACTATTTAGCGTATTCTAAACTCCAACCAATTATACATCCGTAAGTAAAATTCGCTTTAATATGCAAATACTCGTGAACGATACATAATTTTCTATGTTCTATGTATAATAATCACAGACTCACGTCTTTTTCTGTCACTTCTAGCTTTATGCGTTAGAGAGAATTCGATCAACTATGACGCACTGAAAAAAGGGTTTGGGACGGACCGTACATTTATTTTTGTCGAATATTTGCCTCCCCCAGAATCCTTGAGGCGAACCGGTTTCACGGTATGGGATTCCGAGTTAGTAACTCTACCCACCTGGGGTCCTATTCCGTTTGAATTCGACATGTTTCCTGAAGAGGGTTTTTTGGCATTAAAACACCTCGCTTGCCAGACGGGTTGGTGAGTTCTGTATCAGCCGCCCACTCTGAGTTAGACGCTGTTCGTAGCCGTCCACTCTGGATCAGACGCTACTGTTCAACAAAAATATAGAACTGCTAAAGACTATTAAACATCGAAAATGTCTTATAAATATAGTTTGCATATCGGACACAGTAACTCGGTTATCTTAAGTGAGCCGGAACTGGGAGTGTTTGTTTATTTTCTTACAGGCCATATTTTATAAACAAATCTAGTATTTACAGGTTGAAACAAAAAATACTGCTTAGAGCAATTAAATAATTACTTATCAATGAAAACATGTTTAGCACTTATTTATTTATTTATTTACTAGAAGACTTACCTTGTAGCATTTGGATTCTAACGCTAACTTAAGTAGATGACTAGTTTTCAAATGGTTCATTTTGTTTAAATTCAACAAATCAAGCCACGCTTGCTCTCGCTCCGATCTATCTCTTATAGATAACGAATTACCTATTTCGGTAAGAGATTTAATCGCCGAATCTAATACGTGGTTATCAAGAGATATACTATTCGACGCTACCATTCTTGCGACGAAACACGACAAATTGATGACTTGGCTATCCTAAAAAGAAATAATTTATTTTTAAAAATTGCTTAGTAAGTGTTTGGGAAATTATTTAGTATTTATTTAGATATTTTGCTTTCAATACTTTTGATTTCTCTATTAATGACCTTATTTAGTTACATATATTTTAATCACTTCATTATATCGACGGTGAATTTTTATCAAAGTTGTGATTTTGGCGCCAAGTTATTAAAAAAGATAATGATGTCTTACAAAGTTTATATTTTTGGTAGAAATAGGCAATATCGTGTGGTACCATCTTTAAAAATTATACAAACCCTCTGAGATATTCATCGATATGACCAGGTAGAGTACCAAAAGATCCGGTAGTTATGGATATCAGGGTTATCAATTATAATCCACATGGCGTTATCAAGGTAAAACTGGATCATTCTAGCTCAGAATTCACTGAATTACCAATAAGGTCTAAAAAGTATCCTCCGATTGAAAATTATCCTCCGCTGTACACGCAAAGGTGTCAAATTCCTAAATCAAAATGACTAAATTAAAATCGGTAATTCCAGGCGATTACCACAGATTTTACGACAATTTGTCATATTCGGAGTAAAACTTTTGTAACAAAGATGGATTCCGTATTGGCCATGAAGTGTCATAATACTGAAATTTAAAATTCTGCCTATGTGAAGTTTCTATTTCATTTTTGACTTGTACCTATTTAGTTTAAAAAATACAATGTTATGTTTTATACAATGTTAGTTTTTTGTTATATAAGTTACACATAAGTTACAGTGTTAAAATTTATCACGGTCTTTCGTCCAGTGTTAAAATTTTCCTCGGCCATCTACGTAATAGGGTTCAGGTTTGGACCACCTCTACAGGCACAAGGAGCTCACAAGTATTCGAGATGATAAGAGCTACAGTTTCGCGTTCACGACGACTTCTTCTAGAGGTGGTACCACAAAGAGCCCTCCTGCATCATGATGACGGCCGTAGATATTATATGCTGCCGCCGCTATAGTCGGCAAGTAATTTCGTGAGAAAATTTATAGGAACCAGAGCAAGTAAAATACTAGTAAAATGGCAACGCTGTTAGAGTTACCACTACTTGATTGAACAGTAGCGTAGATATCTAATTTTAAATTAAATAAAAGTTTTTACTTTTATTTAATTTTATTTAAAAAACGTTTCATTTTCTGTAAAGTTTAAATAAAAAATATCGATGTTGTTAACTTCTGTGATATATGTTGGGAGTGATAACACTAATCGACTCGACTGAACAGAACTTATTGTAAAATAATACTATCTATATAAAACATTGTTGATAATAGTAGTTATTCAATGAGCATGTAATGATGGCTATTACTAACAATGATGAAGTTTGCCCAGAGTGCCCTTTTCTACATTTTTTGTTTTAATTAGAAAAAATATATATAATTATCTACTACTCAAGATTAAAATTATAATTTACAAAAATCAATTTTGTTTACCAATACTCGTAGTTCTCGGCTGAATAATTGGTTGCTTATTATTAGCCATGCTGTCTTAATTATTTATTGTAAAAAACACAACAAGAAATAGTTCAAGTTACATTCAATTCTAAAAAATTATAAGTATAAAGTACCTACTACTGTCATTGTAATAAATAGGAAATGGCTATTATCGGTGAACGTATTTTAAAAAGTTTTAATGTACATTTATATTTAACTATACTGTGATGAGCTCGCTAATAACGGGCAGATTAACGCAAAAGATGGAAAATACATGTTATGCGATAAAAAGAAATGAAACTAGTGGAGGTGGGAGATTGAGCGATAAAAACCTATAAATTTACATTCTACTTATGGTTTCCCACCTTTAAGACCTATCGGAAAAGTTTAGCAACTGCCACTGTGACAGTGACAGTTTTAGTTGACATACTCCTCTAAAACGTTATTAATTTTTGTCCTGCCAAGAAAGAAGTGTGTTTATACCCTGTTTTCAAAGATATGTAAGAAAAATAAGAATATCTACAATTAAAATAGAAATAAAGGTTTTAACTAATACCTAATAAGTACTTACTATCTACTTAGTCACTGTTATCACCAGTATCACTCGTATCATCTAAATTTATAGTTAATTTGGTTAATGCTGGTAAATATTTAACATAGTTATTTTCCACTCCCATCACATGTTTTATTACATTTTTCCAGTTGGTTGCTGTGATTTTTGTAACTTCTCTTCTAATTAACTGGAGAACAGTAGACGGAAATTTTGGAGCAACGTTTCTTCTCCTTATATTTCCTTTAAGTTGAGCCCATATTAACTCTATTGGGTTCAATGTACAATAATAAGGAGAAAGTCTAAGCACAGTATGCCCGTTACTACGAGCACAGTTGTCATCAACATATTCCTTTTCGTACTGTTTACTATGAGCAACCTCTAACAATTGCTTTTTAATATAAGATGCCTCAAAATACAAATCTTCCGTGAATAAAAATTCCTGAATTTGTAATTTATTCCAACTACTATTTTGAGTTTTTTTCATTAATTTTGAATGATATGATGCGTTGTCCATGACAATTACACTATCTTTAGGTAATTTCGGAAGAAGAGATTATTCAAACCATGATTCAAAAATTGAACTTTCCATATCGTCATGATAATCCAGAGACACGTTTTTAATTTGTTTTGCAGATATTAATAATGCATCGTCGACCCATCCATTTTCTCCACCGCAGTATAAAATTATAATCTTCTTTCCTTTATTGGGCGGTTCTGAGTTGAAACACCTTTTGTTATTATTTGTCCAACTTTTTTCACGGTGGCATGAGTATCATACCAGATCTCATCTAAATAAACAATATTTCGTTTCATTTTTCGATACTCAGTTACCTGTCTGATATAATTGTTTCTTAAAGAAATTATTCTAGTACTTTTCATCAATGTCTGTCTCTTGTGTATAGTTTTGTACTTAAAATTATTGGCTAATATTAGCGAAATAATCGAAGTGTTTTGCTGAACACGAGAGAATGCCCTTTCGAACTAATTCACTTTTAAAGCTTTCAATAGTTGGAAAAATATTAGCCAATCAATCTAATCGATTAGAGGGTTCAATTGTCTCTTCAGCTACAATTATTATCACACCACGGACGCAATATTTTAAAATTATCAAACGTATAAAAACATATTCACGTAAAAACGTATCAAAAAAAGTAAAAAACGTAAAATATAAAAAGTTTTCCGTATAAAGAACACTGAAAAAGGCACTACCAAATTAACTTGCGGTTCAATATTTGAAATTTGAATTTAATTGAACGCTGTAGCAGTTATAGTTATACTAAAAATATTCTTGTCTCCTAAAAATCTGTTGGTCATATTCGCAATTTAAAAATAAAATATAAAAATTTGCCTACCTAAGTGTTCCCCTTCCCGTGCCTTCGACACTGGACGGTCGAAACCTGATACCTTATTTTATGACTCCGTAAGCTCAGTCAAATACTGATATAATCTTACCCCAAGTATGAATAAGTCTACCGACAAAAGATAATGCATTATGATTTGTCATAACAGCGATATCCGATGCTTTCATTGGCCGTTAGTCCACGTGGACTTATCATAAGTTCGATGAAAACTTAATTGGTTGACTGTTCATATTTTAAAAGATTATACCAGGCACGTCTGAATGTTAATATCGAGTGGAATCTTAAAACTTTGTATTATTATACGTCTGAGTCATTGATAATTTTACAGACTCCTGGTAGAGTTCTTTTTTTTGAATGATTTTACTACAGATACATATATTTTTGCACAGTCTCACGGAAATACGAGGCTACTATACCTCCCAATTAACATATTTCAACAAAGATAAGTGATTTTTCACGAATTGATAACAGTTATGAGTTACACCAAGTGTTGTCTTAGTTGCATTTACATACATAATCCATTCGATTATTTCAAGGATTTCAATACATCCTAATCAAACAGTAAGATTTTCCCAAATCAGGAAAAAGGCCTTTTCTGACTAGGTGTATCTCTCTCTCTAAGACGTCGGCTCTTATAACGTTTTGAGTGAGCCGCACTTAATTTTTCTCTGAATCTAAACAAAAATAATTATTTAGTTCCTCTTGAGTACATATGCAACATAAACAAATAAAAAAAAACTTGTAAAAAGGTTTTGTCAGTATCACAACAAACGATTTCTCTGAAAAATTCTAATTGGGAAAGTACGAATTTATGCGAATGGGAATAGTCAGAAAGTGTTTAAAATAATATAAAATAAAATAGTGTAAAATAGAATAAAATAGAACACAGTTAAATAAAATAGAATAAAATAGAGTAAAATAAAACAAAACTAAATAAAATAAAGTAAAATACAATATAATAAAAAAAAATATTTAATTTTTGTATCTAGCTTCATCTATCTTTCAAAGAAAATTTATGATGCACCATTAATATTTAACAGTAAACAAATATGTTATTCATTTCCTTTGTGACTTTATTAAAGAGAACAAAAGTTCTCAAGAAACAGAACAAGTGTTCAACACTGAAGAATTGGCCGAAATAGGTCGTACAAATTTTTTACAGTTGAATCAACAATAAAAGCATTTCCGAAATAGTGAAGGAATTGCGTACGATACTTTGATAAAAGCTGTGAACATTGCACCTGGTGGAATTTAGTTCCTTGATGCACAATGGCGAAGATTTTACAGGTATGCAAATTTATTATTTCGGACGAATGTACATTTGGCCCACAAGAGGTCATTACAGGCACTGGACAGAACTGCTGCGGACGAACTAAATGCATGCCTGACATTATCGAATTTGTGAACACGTAAAGACGCTCCAATTGATAACTAACATGTGAGTGTTTTTGCAACAAGATCAAAGTGCAATTGTGTTGTTGAAGCAGTTGTTAGATGTTGGAAATGGTAAAGTCACTATTCATATCTCGATCGGAATCATTTCATTACCCAGAGAGTTCTGTTACTTAACAGACTCGAACGAGGAGCTTATTAAACTTTGACACATTCTTTAATTCTAAGGCAGTACGAAGATCGTCAGGTTAGCTACTATAACAAAAACAAACAAAAACTTGTGAAAATTCACAAAAGACTAACGTCTAGAAGGCTAAATAGAAAAGATAATTTCCCTAAATCTAACACATGTGCGCTTATGAAGCTTAGAATGACTCGTGATTTATTTTTCCCTAAATCTAGAGAAAAATAATTATTTAGCTCTCCTTGGTACATAACATATGGTGAAATTCCATTTCACTTGAGATTAATTTTTTCCATGCCGGTATTGCTAAGCCTTCTTAGAAGAAATAAAGGAAGATAGTTAACGGTACTTCTAGGGGTAGTAGCCATCCGCTACCTGCCTACATAATTTGAATATTCATACAAACAGTTCAGAACAAGTTATTACCACAGTCGGTCGCAAAATCTCGTCAGCTACCATCTATAGCTCGCAAATTCGCTTATTAATATATTATATGTATTTGTAACTAAATAGTTCGCATCGCATTATTATTCATAAAGATTATCATTTATCTTAAGATTATTAAATTTATATTAAGATTATTATTCATAAAGATTATCATTAAGTCAATCATTTATAGTAACCAGAGTTTTCTAAAACCGCAATTGTAGCTTTCATATAAAAGTTCATATATTCAAACCTGCAGTGTTGCTAGTAGTTCGCTTTAAACATAGAAAAGACATTCCGCTAAGCAATTCTACTTGTAATTAGTTATATCTAATAGTGAAAATAGCGCCAGTGAAAAGTGTAGTTGAAATAACCCATATCACAGTGTTTCGGACAGATTTCAGAAATTGCTATTTAATCTTAGTATTAAATATAAGTTATTGTTTACTTCTGTTTTTCATTCCAGCCACAAGCTGGTGATCCTTCGTCCTTCTATTCTGTAAATAAGTTATTATCAACCAATATATAAAATAAAAAACCTGTGTTTTTTTGTCACCATCGCAAAAATGGATTGAAATATACTGGCAGAAATTAGAGCGAAGCTTTCGATTTAGAAAATCTAGTTGGGTTTACGTCTAGAAGGCTAAATAGAAAAAAATTCCTTAAATCTGGAGAAATTTAGCTCTCTCTATCTCTCTTTAACACATATGGAGCTTTTAAATGCCTCACGCTACATATTTCCCTAAAAAATATTAATGTGGAATGATTTTCAACATCACACTTTTTTGAGAACAATGTCCTTAGTAGAAATTAAAACGTCAAAATAAAACGTATTTTCAATTAAAACTAGAGTTGTTCCCCATTAAAAACAGTAGATCGCAAAAAACAATTCAAATATACTTACAGAAAAATCTCCAGGTTTAACAATCTGCATTAAAATCTGAACCAGCCTTTGTCTCTGTAAAAGGCCCATTTCTCCGGAAAATTCTGGTTGAGAAAACGCCAATTCGACGACATTTAAACAATCCCTCGTATTATATTTCAATAAGGCTCTCAAATACGGATAAATAGGTTCGTCGGTATTGCATTTAATAGAATGAGTCGTCTCTAGGCACCTCAGTACATCAAATTTTACTCTAGCAGCTTCATTGTCAGGTATGTTTCCGCTTGGGTAGCCGAGACCGGCCAAACAAGACGAAACGTAGACTAGTAAAATATTGCCTAAAATAAAATCAATCATAAAACAAATATTAAATATCCCATTACTATTATTTGCAAGACAAATTACTAGCAGATATGGAGGTGACCTATTTTTTTCAATAGAAACAAGTTTACTAGGGAATATATGTCACTTGTCAGATTTATCAATATCGGAGTATTTTTATTTTTTATTTTCTTTATATATAAATATTTTTGTATACAAATTTTATATAAAAACAAAAACATCCAAGATGGCTTCGAATGAAAAAGACGTGCCCTGTCGATGTCTGTAGTTATTGTGGTAAAAAGGTGTTAAATGGTTGGAAATGTATTAAGTGTACACAAGTAGCTCATCCCAGCTATGCTAAAACGTTGAAAAATGTCATCGATGAAGGTATGATTTGCTACACTTCAAACCCAAACCACAGAATAAATAGCACATAAATAAATAAATAAATAAATAGCAGATGCCGCCTTTGAATGCCCAATATCAGATGCCGCCTTTGAAGTGGGTCAGCACGCGATCGCCATATTTTAAACGGAAACATAGACTCGGATTGAAAAATTTGTGACAAGCTACGATAAAACTGTAATTTAAATTTTTCTTCTCCTTCTTCAGGTGCCATCTCGGCTATGGAGGTTGGCAACCATCACAGCTATTTTAATTTTTAAGGCAGTAGCTCTAAATAGTTGTTTTGAGCTGCACGCAAACCATTCTCTCAGGTTCTTAAGCCATAAAATTCGTCTTCTTCGGATGCTTCTTTTGCCATATATCTTTCCTTGCATTATGAGTCGCAGGATGCCATACTTCCCGCCCCGCATCCCATGTCCGAAATACTGTAGCTTTCTTTCTTTAATTGTAAGTTCAACTTCCTTCTCTTTACCTATTCTTCTCAGTACTTCATTGTTCGTAACTCTATCTACCCAGGAAACTCTCATAATTCTTCTATAGGTCCACATTTCAAAGGCGTTAAGTCGTCTCATTGTGTCTAAATTTAACGTCCATGATTCCACTCCATAGTATAGTACACTGTATACGTAACATTTTGTTTGGCGTACTTTAAGAGCTAATGTTAAATCTTTGCCACATAGAACCTTTTTCATTTTCATAAAATTAGAACGTGCTTTTTCGATTCTGACTTTGATTTCTTCAGTGTAGTCATTATTTTCTGTTATAAGTGCTCCTAGGTATGTGTACTTTACTCTTTCGATTTGCTGGCCCTCTACTATCAAGATTCCGTTAGTATTATGGTCTTTCCAGTTCTTGTAAACTATCGGCTATTATTACCGTATCATCTGCATATCTGATGTTGTTAACTAAGACCCCATTTACTCTTATGCCGACTGTTTCATCTTCAAGAGTTTCTCGAACTACCTCTTCAGAATAAGCGTTAAATAATAGAGGTGATAGTATGCAGCATTGCCTGACTCCTCTCTTTATTTCCAAATCTTCAGATGTCTCCTTTTGAATTCGTACTATTACTCGCTGATTGTAATAAAGGTTTGTTATTAGCCTTAAATCTCTTTCATGTAGGTTTTTATTTTTTTAGAATTTCCTTGAGTCGGTCATGTTTTACTTTATCAAACGCTTTATTGTAGTCCATAAAATAGACGCAAAGAGGACGGTTAACATCCAAACATCTCTGTGTCAGCACGTTGATGGAGAATAATGCCTCTCTGGTACCCATACCATTGCGGAACCCATATTGTGTGTGTCACTAATATCCAGCTCCAGTTTAGAGTCAATTCTGGCGTAGATAATTTTCAACAGAATTTTCAAGGTATGTGACATTTAAATAGTAGTAAATTTCAAATAATTTAATTTATTCTTCAACTAAAAGTATTCATGGATGATTCCGTCTGCGCGAACGAGACGCGCGTGCTTATTTTGACAAGAAGAGTGGGCATTCTGATTGTTTATTATTCTGTGCCCAAACATAGACATTGAAGTTGCTGAAACACTAGTTACTATTGACCAGCACATTCAAAAATAACATGCTTTGAAAAGGGAAATTAAATATTTGAAGATTATACTCATGAGTCATAAGAACCTCATAATTCGTGATGTGTCCGCCATTGACACTTTTAGATGTGTCCGCCATTTTTTTGGTGGCAAACAATAGATCTGACACCAGTTTTGTTTTTGTGGTCTTTTAAAAAAAGTGAATTAAACACATATTTTTTTTACTTAACAAAATGGAGAATTGTGCATATTATATTCTTTGTAAAACTCGCAGCGAGCATAAAACACCAGGAATATCGTTTCATAGGTAAATATTTATAATAGTGCAATTAGGTATATTAGGTGCAATTGATTTTACTTTTTATTTCGATTTTAAACCTCAAAACCAATTTAAATTAGTATTTTAAGGAAAGGTGAGATCTAAATTACTAAATAAGAATGCTAAATATGCATAGTTATTTCAGTAATTTTATTATAATTAATAATTTCACTCACACACCATGATAATTTGCCAGTGGCAATGTGCGTTGAGGTTAAAATTTCAATAAAATATTCCATAAACAATTTTGATTCCAAAATATTTGTATAAAATAAAATAAATTAAATAAAACATTTAATGTACAAAAATGTTTCATTTTAAATACGAATTAGCAAAACTTAAAAATACAAAGTTCTCTCTCTTTCCTTGTCTAAGGCTTTAACAATATAAATGACAGTAGTGACATTGACAAGGTAACACATTCAAATGAGGTTAGGGTTTATGTCAACAATGACAATATAAACATCGAGAAAAATAATAAGCAAACATAAGTTAAACGCATCACATCTCAACAAGTCAGTGTTGCCATCATAGAGGCAAACTCACATATAACTCTGGGAAATGTGTAACAACTAAATCGCACTGCAACAGAAAATGGAAGGAATGACAAAGGTGATGGATGTACAAAAGTTATAAAAAAGAAAACTCCTGGTGGGTAATACTGAGTAAACATGCAAGGTGGAAACAACTCCTAGATTGGTTCAATTACATGTTACCAGATTAAAACCAGGTACGCAACCTCAAGACCTACGAAAGTTCCTTGAAAATAAACTTATTGGAGTGAAATGTGAAGAAGATGCTTCTTCAACAACGAAATCACACTGTAAATGTTAACAATTTTGTTACGACACATATTGCGTTTGTACAAACCGATTGCAGTTTAGCAAATAAAATTAATTTAGTTGAACTACTATAATTGTCAAAAAGCAATCCAAATTTTATCTGTATAATAGAACATTGGATGTGCAAATCAGAAATTCAAAATGTGTGGATAGATATCAGTTGGTCTTGGGCTATTGTAAGCAGGAGGCTGAACATGGTGGTTCGGCTATATTTATGAGTAGAAACTCCTCAGCTTTCTTTTGTCAAAAAACAATCCAACTTTTATCTGTATAACAGAACATTGGATGTGCAAATCAGAAATTCAAAATGTGTGGATGTATATCAGTTGGTCTTGGGTTATTGCAAGCAGGAGGCTGAACATGGTGGTTTGGCTATATTTATGAGTAGAAATTCCTCAGCTTTAGTATGTAAGACTTTGAACCTTGTTAATCTGTCATCAGATTTCCATTATGAGTGTTCCGCGGTATAAGTGAATAGAAACATCTACATTATTATTTTATACCACAGCTCATCAGCTCATCATCAGTTAATATCAATATATTCTTTCTGAAAAATTTTCGACCGAAGAGGACCAGTGGGAAGACGATCCAGAGGAAGACCAAAACTTAGGTATCAAGATAACATAGAGGACGATCTAAAATCCATCGGGGTTAAAGCATGGAGAAGAGTTGCCAGAGACAGGGGCGAATGGAAGATTGTTCTGAAGAAGGCTTTGGCTCATAACGAGCTGTAATGCCACTGATGATGATGATGATATTTATAAATTATACCACGCACTAGATTATTTATTGACAAATTATAATAATGTTATATTAACTGGGGATCTTAATACTGATTTCCTAAAATCAACCACTGCTAAATACAACTTTTGCCTTATTTAACATGTTAATTTAAAACTCACGTATACAAACCTACAAGCATAGCCTGTTGTAACATATAGCGGGGTTGACTGCCGAGTATAGGTAAAAGTTTATGGTCGGTATGGACCTTACGTGAGATGGAGTGAGAAACACCTATTTAAAAAGAGAGAGGTGTATTAGGTCCGCCCTTTATATCGCCGAAAATGAATGAGTTGAAATATTAAAAAAAGGGGGAATTCAACGTTGCCAAACTTGTTGGTTTTATTTGACCTGTTGTCTTTTTCCCATTTGAACAATGCTCTAAGATTTGGGCGAAATGGATTTAAATGGCAGCTTACTGTTTTTTATTGGGAATATGCCTCAATTTTACTTTACAATAAGTGTAATATAACATTTTGATTTCTACTTCGGAAATCGTTTTATATAAAAAAATTTAAGTATTAATGTTTCGTATTTTAAGTGCGGTTTCCGAATTAAAAATCTCAACATCAAAATAAGCTTATTTTAAAGTCACATTGTGCCTTATTTCCATTAAAAATAATAAACTGCATATGAGGCCACAATAAAAAAAGCTTCATATAAAATTATTTGGCAACGTCTCGTCTCCCGATCTCTCGATTCGTCAAAGCACCGAATCAAAGTTAGGACAGAGGTAACGAGTAGAGGTGGGTCGTTGACATTTTTATCGTAAACCGATTTTCGTAAACAAGTTACTATGATTGTTTAACAGCAATTTCAAGTAAGAGAGTACCTACATAAACAAGTATAATGGTTATTATCGTTTATGTGTATATTTATTGAAATGAAAGAAACTAATGAAGGATATATGAAGGAAACTCAGTCATTCTTTTTAACATGTGATAGGTGAAGTTCTACCTAGTTTCCACGTCTTGGATTGGCCGTTTGGTAACTTTGTTATGTTGTAATTGATAGTTTAAAAGCCTTTCTGAAGATAAGATTCTTTTTTGAAATGTGTTTTTTGTCGAATTGTCGAAAAAAAGACTTTTTATTTTATCTATTTGTACACGACAGCATTTAAGTGCGTCCTCCACCAATAAATTTAACATATGGGCAAAACAACTTAAATGTTTTTATTCCAAAACATCTTTAATAGCTTTGACCATATTTAAGGCAGTATAAGTTACTGCAAAATTTACTTTTCGGTTTAGACCCCACTGATTAATAATTTCACTAATTTCAAAAGCGATGTTTTCTGAATTATGATTTCTAGAAAAATGGCAGCAGCCTAATAAAACCGTTTAAAATTCTAAATTTTCGGTTAAATATCATCACCTTTTGACACTTGGGTGGCGGTGGCAGTATGTCAGTACTTGTAGTAGAATGAGTCGAAACGGACAGAAATGCGTCAGGAGAAGTTTCAATTATTGCAATATTCAGAAAGTGGACCACAAAAGCTGCATCTTCTACAAATGTGCATTTTTTGAAAATAAAATTATTATTCTTATACTAGGTCAATAATTTTGACTAAGAGTTAAGTTTTGACTAACAAAAGAAAGAGTTAAGAAGCTGGTTACTTATGAATAAATGGACATGACTCACCTAAACATACACCTGTATCGAGAGATATAAAAGAAGTCGACATGTATTTGTCTGATAATATATTTCCCACAAAAAATTTCGAACGGAGATTGGAACTGTCCATTACAGTGGTGAAAAAACCATCGCCTTGTATATCCTAACTTAACCACTATATTCATAAAATTCTGTAGTATAGTAACAAAATCTGTTCCTTGTGAACACATGTTCAAAATCTGGTTTAATTTTAAATAAAAGAAGAACACGGTTAACAAGAAAAGTGGAAAAACTTATGTTTTTAAATGTCAATTTAGACGATTCGCGATTTAATAATGTTTAATGTAAATGAAAGTACTATTTGTATTGTTTAATTTATTTTTTAAGTTATAATAAATATATCCTTCGTTAGTTTCTTTCACTTTAATACTTATACACATAAACGATAATAGCCAATATGTTTGTTTGTGTCTCGCTCATTTGAAACTACTGGTAAACAATCAACTAGTTACAGTTTACGAAAAACGGTTCCGATAAAAATGTCAACGACCCATCTCTAGTTTTTAGGTATATTAGAATCGGAACCAGAGATATATAAAATATCTCTGATCGGAACTAATCGTCTCACTAATGCGCAATAGGCGTCAATGAGAAACATGGAGGGGAGACCTAGGGGAAATATGATTGTTATCTTTGTCTATTCACTGAAAATATGAATTTATATCTGTGTTAGATATCCTGTTAAATTTTACCATACCGACCATAAACTTTTACCTACACTGTATGGTAATAAAGTGAAGCCAAAGCAGTGGTCGAACATTTACAGTATGTAGCAGTAGTCATTTAGGCATTAATTTAAATATAATATTAAACCTTAAAAAGTACTAAGGTGATTATAAAATTCTAATTAAAACGATACCTTAGGGTAAAATATGAAAATAAAGGTATTAAACTACATGATATAAATTCCGTAGTTCTGCAAGGAGCCAACCTAAATCCAATGTATATTCTATTCATAATAGTTTTTTCACGCAGTAGTAAAGTGGTAAGTAGTCGTGTTAGTAATAAAATTTTTTATTATCAAAATTAATGTTTGACTTTCAAGGTCATCAACTGTCTTCAACATGTCACAAATAAATTACTAAAAAAACTCTTACCTAATTTATGATTATCGGGAGTAAAATCACATAGAAATTCAGTCAACGGACTGGTGTAATCCTTGAGAGTACCAGTTGTGATGTGGATCCAAGCGTTATACATCTTCAACTTCTTACAAATCTTCAAAACCTGATGTAAATCTAAGCACGATATATCTAAAGATAATAGCACATTTTCTAACGTTTCGCAGTCTCTTTCTTCTAAATACCTTACTAATTGTTGAGCTATGAGCGGAGATAGAACCGTCAGAGATCCGGAACATATCTGATCGGTTAACAGTGTGTAGTACCAGTCTTTTTTACTTTGGTCAGTGGAGATAGCTTCGTATAGTTCGTTGCATAAAATATCACTAAAATCATATAATTTGTCGGTCAAGTTCTTATCAACTAGAGTACAACTTTTAGACCAGACAATTAGCAAAATAAAAGCTTTTTTGTGACATTCTTTGATACAGGTATCTAACTATTTTTGATAAATTTGGTGATAACAATAGGTAATAAACAAATGATTAAACGTCATCTTTTACTTATAAACATTATATACACAATGTAAGATCGATAATTGAGGTTAAATACTAAAGGTGAAGACCAGTAAATTATAAGGAAAAGTGAAATAATTTTACTGAAAAAGCATAGAAAATCATTTAAAGTAAGAGTTGTTATTTTTGTTAAAATAATGAATTGGTTGCACATGTGAGTCCATTTTAAACAAGGTTTTAGAAATCAATTATGGATTTACTTACAATCTATTTTATTTAGCTTAGGACGACCGGTTTCGAGCACTACAATTTTCTGGTAATCTTCAGGTCTCCGGAAAAGTAAAATTTAAAATGAATCCGATAAAAGGTTTGATGTTAAGAAGACGTGTACAGATCGCTCATTTATGCTATAATGTTGTCTATGGATCAATTTAGTTCCAAGTGATGTTATGAGGGTAGATGGGAACGAAGTACATCAGGTCTTTAGCTATATCTATTTAGGACATGAAATTAGAATAGGAAAAGACAATCAAACTTGTGAGATCCAGCGTCGCATAGGCTTGGGATGGGCAGCATTTGGCAAGATACGAGATATTCTAAAAGGAACGCTACCGATTTGCTTGAAGAAAAAGGTTTACAACCAATGCATACTGCCAGTAATAACATATGGTTCCGAAACAATAACTTTAACCAAACATTCTGCAAATAAATTGAGAGTAACCCAAAGAAAAATGGAAAGAGCAATGTTGGGAATAACTAGAAGAGATATGGTACCAAATAGTGAGAGAGGACTAAAGTGACAGATGTCATAGAAAAAATTGCACAAGCCAAATGGAGATGGGCTGGACATATAGCACGTTTAAATGATAATAGGTGGACCAAAGACTCATAGAATGGAGACCTAGAGAAGACAAAAGACACCGAGGCAGACCACCAAAAAGATGGATGGACGACTTGAGAAAAACAGTCGGAAATTAGATACAGAAGGCGCAAGATAAAGAACAGTGGAAGAACATGGAGGAGACATATATCCAACAGTGGATGCAAGAGGTTGAGGAATGATGATGATGATGATGTTGTCTATGGATGTTGAGCTTATTAATCATCGACATATGGTGAGGAGAGGTGTTTTTTGAGGAGACAGTATAGAAGCTACTTATTGATGTTGTGATAAATAAATAAATATATATGTTATTGTTTGTAACAGTAGAAGTGTTGTATTTATGAAGCTATTTATACTGCGTTTCAAACGTTAAAATTAAGTTGGTTGTAAATTGCAAAGCAAAAACATAAGAAGAGCATACAATATAGATGACATAAATGGATGGGTGACAAAACAAAAACAGGAGTGGAACGAACATATCAGTAGAATGGCAGAGGATAGAATAGTACGAACAGCACGAGATAAGTCACCAAATGGACGAAGAAGTATCGACAGACCAAGAAAAAGATGGTGCGACAATTTATGAGACTAATATCGAAGAAGAAACAGGCTTTAAGGCCTATATACTAGAAGGAAGAAGAAGTAAATTGCAAGCGGGTTTGCCATATTTCACCCATTCTGTGAATTATCATAAATAAATCCTCCTTTTGTATTCAAAAGCAGTTAACAGCGACAATCATCTACAAGTGTCTGCCTTAGGCCCGGCGCAAATTGAGCACAGCCCACGCACAGCTCACGCACATCCCACGCGCAGCCCACGTATGGTCCAACCTAGTCCAACTACACGTTTTTCAATACTAACGCATATTGAACACAGCCCACGCCCATGTCAAATATTTGTGTAGAATATGTTCTATCAATAAAATTAGGAAAAACACAATTTACGAGTGTGCTGATTCTGACGAAAAACCTGGACTATGCATAGGAGATTGTTTTCGCAAATACTATTCAACGAAAAGATAGACTGTTTTCAGTATATTAGTTTAAATATTTTATTTTCTAGACCTTTTAATTTTTACCTAATATCCCATTAACAATTTCTAATCTGAAAATATAAATATCTTGAAAACTTTCACAAATGCCAAGGGTAAAAAAATTGAAATCCTTCAACAAAAGACTATAGATATAATTTGAATAAGCTGCTTTTGCCGATTTGACTTTCTTATTACTAATTAGCGTAATAAGCAGATATTTTACATGGTAAAACAATTTTAACAATTATGTTAAAGATTAGATTTTTGTTTCATTGAAAACTGAACCTGATATTAATTTCTTGAGAACTTTTACATATGATAAGGGTAATAAATTGAAATCCTTCAACAAAAAACTATAACAGGTAGAAACCCATAATTTGAATAAGCTGGTTTTGCCGATATTGACTTTCTAATTACTAATTAGCATAACAGGCAGATATTGTAACTGGCCACAATGCCGTTGAATATTCCGACTTTCATTTCGCTTGTTTTGAAAACTCCATCGAATATTAATTTCTTGGAAACTTTTACAATGCTGAGGGTACTAAGCTGGAATCCTCTAACAAAATACTATACAGAGTATCGTTGAAATAAGTGAAATAACGTAATAAACAACAGGAGAGTTAAAAAATACAAAAATTCCAGATCGTATTTTGTTTTCGAGATAAATTTAAATTTGAGAATTTTTTTATTATTTTTCTACTTTCTTCATGTTCTTTTTTAAATTAATTTCAGTGTATAAAAGCCATTACAATATGAGCATCATGAAAAAGTACCACCAAATTTTATTTTGAAGTTTTCATCTTAGGTGTTCATAAACATTTTGCTAGGAAATGAAAATTTGTTTTTTTCCTTAGTTCTCGATTTGTTATATTTCTCATTTGATTTAATAAAAAATGAATAATTAATTTTTTTAGAATAATTATAACGGCGACTTACATCCGAGTCGCTTAGCACAAATAAAAATATTAGTTTTGTTCTCATGTAATCTTCATTACTAGTATCATACAAAACACTAAAGCTTCGAACAATTTCAATAAACTTTTCCATTTTCACTGAATAAAAAAAAATTGGTCAAACAAAACAAAATAACTAAGGTTAAGTAGAGACCCACGGCCCACGAAACTGTGTTGCTAGCACAACTCTATCCACGCCAACCCACGCCAACCAAGTCTGGCAGTAGCCTGGTCGTGGTTTGGGTTTAATATGCGTCGCTCCGTCTAAAACCACGTTTTACAAAATAACCTACGCGTGGGCTGCGCGTGGAATTTGCGTGGGCTGTGCTCAATTTGCGGCGGGCCTTATACTTTCTTTTGCTTCTTTTTCTCAGCGGTGATCAAACAATTAATAATTTTCTGACGGTACTATATTTTTTTCTTTTAATTCAGTCGTGAATGGTCAACAAAAAATATGTCATAAAAAACATTGATAGTGTTTAAGTTTCAGACTATTTTATATTAGGCCATTTTGAAAACAATACTTCAAGATGTAAAAATCTTAACCGTACAAAAACATTTTTATTAAACCTCTTGCAAGGCTGAATTATTGTTTTGAAAATGGACTAATAATTCTGAAATAGTACAAAAAATCGATAGTATAATAGTTATTTATTGTACAAGACGATAAAATTGTACTTTATCTTTGAGAGCGTTTTTTAGCGTCGAGACGTCAGTCGAGCACAATTTTTAGCACAAAAATCGCAATTGTGTTGCTCCGTTGCTAGGGATATGAATTACTTAGTCAACAAATGTCAAACAAATGTTACATAAAATCAATTCAGTACTGTTCAGCGGTCAAGAATGCAAGAGCCGTCCCTGTGCGGAAACCAGGCGCCTTTTGCGCATGCATCGACCAAGCGGCAACGAACACAACACGCGATGCTGTCGAACAGAACTAGGACATTTTTGTTTTGTTAATTTTCCGTTTTTATAAAAGCATTATAATAAAAGTGTCAAAATTAAAATAAATATTTTTTATAAAAAGAATACAGTCCACAATACTTCTGAAGGCTCAGAAATAAAACTTTATTCAAGTACCTCGAATCAAGTGTTTAAGCAAACGAGTACAAGTTGTAATGCTCCAAAAATAGACATTTCTAATAATGTTAATTGTAAAATTTCAGTTGTTTTTAACCCTTAATGTGTTTGAATTTGTAAATTTTATTGAATAAAAAAAAAGTTAAAACATTTTAACTACTTTTGCTGTTAAAGTGTCACTTTATCTACCCTTGCGGTTAAAGTGATACTTTATCTACTCAAAACAGTTGTTATAGCAACACTTTAACATTAGCTATGGAAAAAAAAGGTATTTTGTTTATATTCAGTTAATATAAAAATTTGTTATAGTTGTTGGAGGTTGTTTGTTGCATTTGTTTTATAGTATAATGGGGAAATAGGAATTATTTTTCATAAATAAAAGTACAGGGTAAGATATTTTTAATTATAAATTAAACATAATAATTTACGTTACTGTTCATCACTGTCCGTGTCGCTAGAGATAAATTCACTGTCACTGTCCGTCCTACCAATGTTTATAACAATTGGTTGAATATCATCATCCATCATGTTTTCGTGTTTACACATGTCCGTTTCTTCCCCTATTACGTGTTTTATACAATTTTTATCTTGGGTAACCTGTAAGTACGCTTCCATAAATAAATTCCTAACTTCTTCTTCTTTAAAAGTTTTGTCATGTGCGGCAATATATATTTTCACTTCGCTCCATACCAACCCTATATGGTTGAGCTCACAGTGATAGAGCCTAAGGCGAAGAATTTTCAAATTGTGTTGCTGTGCAATATCTTCGATTATATATCGATCGTAATTTGCCCTATAACTGTTGACAACTTCCAACAGTTTTGTTTTTAAATAACTTTCTTCAAAAAATATATCTTTCGATGGAAGCCATGTTTATATTTCTTTTTTATTAAAAGTAGTTTTGGGAACTTTCTCCAATTTCCTGCTATGATAAGGAGCATTATCCATCACCACAAATGTTTTTTCTTACAAATTAGGAATTAGGTTATGTTTGAACCAATTTTCAAAGAGTGGATCATTCATTTCGTCATGATAATCTTGGGTGTTTTTTTGCCTGAAAAGTCAGTTCTGCTCCTTTAACAAAGCCAGTTTCACATCCTGCATGTAAGAGGCAAAACGAGTACCTCGACCTGCAGGTTTAATGGATGTCTCCACCCATTGTTTTGATACGCCGTGGCCTACGTTTACCCGTGACTCATCTCAGTAGATGATATTGTAGCCTTCTTCGCGGTATCGACGAATGAATCATAGGTAACGACGACGCCATGAAATTATCTACTGTTTCTCAATTAAAATCAACTTTCGACACATTTTTCAAACTTAAACTCGATATAGCACAACAAACGATGTTGTGTGCTTCTTGAAAAATGGCCAAATGCTCCGCAGCCTTTACTGTAGCCAAAACAGAGTTGATCGGTGAAGGATGGTGTTCTATATAAGTAAATGAAAACCTGATTTTGATGTGATTTGCTACCTATCACTTCATAACCTTTTCTACTACTAATAATAAGAGAAAAGTAAAATTATTTATTTTAAATTGTTTAAACAAGTTACTGGGTTGAATAAACAATTCACAAATTAACTAATTGTATTTTTATAATTTATTTATTATTATATGTTTAAAACATCAATTTTCGTTGATAAGAACTGAAAATATTGCGACTTTTATAAATTTGAAATTATGAATTCTGTTTTTGAAATGGTTAACTCGAGGGTGCAAATTGTTTTGCTTTTAAACCCTTCATATTTGGCGCATCATGGACAGCTCAATTTTAAAGGAATCGTTTTAAGTTTTTTGGTCAAAACTTGAACTTTTATTCTTTCAAATAGTGCTTTGAAATTTTTTACTGTTTGTAAACAAAGCCCCGGTAAAATTTTGAAAAAAAGGCCAAGACATTGTTTTTTTTTTAATTCGTGTAAAAATATCAAAATTTAGAATAATAAAAAAAATAACTTCCTACATGAAGCGTCTGAGTTATTTTAAATGTTTATAAACTTAAAATCACAAATTTGAAATTTTTATAATTGATCATTTGTGATATTGTCTATTCTGACGAGAAATTAAAGTTTTATATACATTTTTACAAGTACATAAACAGTACTTACATGCCGGTGCAAGGATTTTTATTAATAAGGCGTATACTGAACGTTTGAAGACCTATAGACAACACTATAGAATAAATGAGCGTTCTGTACACGCCTTTTTAACAACAATCCTTGCATCGCCATGCAAGCACTATTCCTCAAATCTTACTTAAGTAATACTGGCACTTTTTGCAAAAGACTTGATTTTAGTTACTCTTTTAGTTGCGATATGTAATTGTTTTAGCATTTTAATTTAACTTGTCCGGAGACCTGAAGATGACTATGTAAATTTTAGTGGTTGAAAACGGTCATCCTAAGCTAATAAAATAGATTGTGTGTAAGTCTAATCTAATCAAATAAGACATTTGAATCTTGGTAAATGTCATTTCTCAAATTGTTAAATGCTTGAAATTTAAATGATCGTTAAGTTTTTTAAAATTTTTTACACAATTTTCCTTAATTTTTGTTCCGTAAGAACCTTCCACATTTAGTGATTCATTTTTATATAATAGATACCTTGATCTTTTCGAATCCTATTTAAATCAGATTTCGAACGTAAAATTTTGAAGTTTACATGATCTGTACATACTATACACGTGCAAGTTCGACCCTGCCGCGCAATTCAATAGGAAATTAAAAAGGTTAATGTTTTTAGGAGTCTTTTTTTTCGGTTTTCAATTTCATATTAAAACAGTCTTATACTTAAGCATGCTACAACACAAAAAAGATATAAGATCAAACAGAATAAAACAGTTAATAGTATTCTATGATTTTGGATACTTACATCTTTCCCAACTTTATGCAACAGTTGATAGCAGCCGTAAGACTCTCCTTATCGATCGGATTCAAATTTATATTCTCCAAATACTTATTTATCAACGGTATGGCAAATTTTTCTTTGCTAGATCCTTCGGCAGTTGCTAAATTCAGCGCTTCCGCCCACCTACCTTGATCGCTGAGGTAGAAGAGCCTTTCGGACCAGGTTCTTAACTTGACCATGTGTACAGCCCTTGTGCCCAAAACCAACAGTTGGTCTCCGCGACTAGATAAACTATTGTAACAGGCGCGTTCACCTAGAAATACGTTATTATGTGAGATTATCAGTATAGTAGCCTGATCAAATAAAATCAAATTGTAATTCAGTACAGGTTGAAACAAATTTTATATCAAAGTTTAGGAAAAAAAAGATATTTTCAAGAAAGTATATGATTTATATAACGGGATCTAGTTTAAATGATGAAACATGGCTAATGTTTGCAAACCATTTACTTTTTAGCTGCTGCTGCGGTACTTCATATTTTCAATACTATGTCTATACTTTGTCTCAAAGTGACTAGTCTGTCCAGGGTAGGATATGCAATGCTAACCTCATGGGAATTTCGCCAAGACGTTGCCAGTTTTCTGCAGTGAGCGATGGCGTTCTCCATTGTCTATCTTTCAAAATAAACAGAATAATCCAAGAGTTCCCAAAAGTCCTCACGTACAATTTTATGTAATTTACAAATATCGTTTGCTAATAATTTTACATAATACCATACATTATTTGTTTCTAATAGTAACTTATCAACTTTTATCTTTTATTAGTAGCAGTAGTATAATAAAACGTGCATTAAATAAACATTTGTTTCAAAGGTTTTCAAATACTTTCTTCTAAGTTATTCGGTAATTAAGAAGCAATTAGACTAATTAGAGTAATTCTTGTACAGAATATGTTTAAAAGCTTGATACATCCAGGGCCTTAATTAGTCTTTATTTGTTCTTCGGAGCGCGTAAACATATTCGAGTTACGATTATTTGTACCATCTTGGATGTACTGTTACTGTTTTGTTATTGTTATTATTTGTTGATGGCTGTTGTTGTGATTTGCTGTTGGCAATTATTGTTATTTTCTGTTGTTGGCTATTGTTATATTTGACGCCGAATTTTTACCGCAAAATGAAGGAAATTGTTCAATGAAAACGTGGAAAAGCTCTGAAACTTTCAGAGAAGCAGATAGTAATGAATATTATTAATTATCATCTTAATCAGGATAACAACGATTATGTATCAAGTGTAATTAGGAAAGTGTCAGAAATAAGTGGTGTTTGCGAAAAAACTCTGTTTCGCATACGACAGGAATATTCATCACCTGCCGGATTACAATCTCCAAAGAGCGGGACCAAGAAGCGAAAGGTTGGTAATTCTCGTGACCAGTACGATGAAGGTATCAGGGGCCAAATTCGTAAAAAAGTTCATCAATTTTTTCGTGACAACATACCACCAACAATAAACACCATATTAGCTGTTGTAAATGTTGAAGAAACTTTGCCCAAATTTTCACGGGCCACGCTACATCGCTTTCTGAGTGATATGGATTTTGTGTTTATAAAACGTGACAGAAATTCAATTTTGATTGAAAAACCAGAAATCATCTCGTGGCGTCATCGTTATTTACGCGCAATTCGTAAATACCGTGCCGAAGGATACAACATAGTGTATTTGGATGAATCATGGGTAAATATCGGGCACAGTGTGAAAAAAGAATGGGTTGATAAAACAATTACATCTCATCGCGATGCTTTTGTTCGTCGTCTGACAACAGGATTAAAAGTTCCAACAGCTCGTAGCGCACGGTTCGTTTTATTGCACGCAGGATCTACCAGTAGATTTGTTAATGGAGCAGAGCTCACGTTATTGGCAAAGAAAACTACTCAGGACTACCACGACGAAATGGATGGACCGACCTTCGAAGATTGGTTCGAAAATAACTTAATGCTAAATTAGCCAGAAAAAACTGTTCTGGTAATGGACAATGGCTCCTATCACAGCAGAAAGTCAGAACAAATTCCCAACAGTTCAACAGTAAAAAAAGATATTCAAGAATGGCTTCTGTCAAAGGACCTATTTTTTTAAGAAGACTACCTAAAATGCGAGTTACTTAATGTAGTCAAGGCCTTAAAAGCACAAATGACAGGTACATAATAGAAGATATTACCAAAAAGCACAATTTGAAGATTCTGAGGCTCCCACCCTATCATTGTGAACTCAATCCCATCGAAATGGTTTGGAGTGAAGTATAAATGAAGTATAAATGAAACGGTAGCTGGACGAAACGCGAATTTTAATGAAGCTGAAATGCGAAATTTAATTACAGCAGCATACCAGGTCATTACGCCAGAGAAATGGGAAAACTACGTAAACCACGTAATAACAACAGAAAAAAAAATGTGGAAAATTGACAATTTGTTGGATAATATCGAACCAATTATTATAAATATAAATAACGGAGATAGTGATGACAGTGACGATAATAATGATGATGATGATAGTTAAGCAGAAACTAAATGTGACAACGATTGACAGAAAAATGAACTAAATATAATTGTGTACAATTACGATTACTTACACACAAAATTGAATACAATGACTTCTTTTATTTTCAACTTATTTATTAGTTTTATTTTCGGATATTTCTACGTTTTGTTACTGCCAACATATACAGTGCGGTTTTCTTCCCCCTTAACTTTTGAATAGAACAATACATAAATAAAATGTTTCTTTATATTTTAGTTTTATTTTATTAGATTTTATTTAAATCTATAAACAAATGGTTTGTATCGCTAGCACATACTGTAGAATTAAAAACAAACTTCTTCTGTGACATAAATAAAAGGCATTTCTTAATTTCTATTTTATTTTAATTTAATCCAAGTATGTTGTAGCAAATATTATTTATTTATGAGAACCACTGACAGAAGGAAGCCAAGCAGTGTCGTTAGTGGGCATTAGTACTTAAGCTACCCTCAGCACAAAAGATGGATTAGGCTAAGTAGTAAGAAGTGACGTTTATTTTAATATAATAAGTTTGCAAAGAAGTATGGTACCGATGTTGTGCATTTACCTTGTACAGACTAGTCACTTTGAGACAGTCTATAGAGAGATTATTAATTTTTATCGCTTTTATTAACTTTTAAATACGTATGAGTGTTTAAAAGACCCTTGTTCTTAAAATATCTTTTAGTAATAAATTTTGTGCGGGTTGGAATATACGTTTTCTTTTAAATCATTTTATTCAAGTATTAATTATACATAATCTTTCTTAAAATTTTTATTGGTTTTTAATTAAAAGCGTTCTAAAGCGTATTATTTTTTCATGGGAACAAATATTTCGAACCAAAGTACATATTACCTTGCCAAGAGTTAATTAGCTTAGGCCTAATTTATAAAAGCCACTATCCGATTTTTAGTTCTCAGTTGCCAGTTATTATTTGAATCAATATGCATTCAGACGTACATATTTGTTGTTCAATTACCATCTAGAGAAACTCATTATTTTGTGAGTCCAACTGGAAAATCATTTGTTGCCGTTTGTATTCAGAGACAACCTCCTTTTGTATAGGATTTTGTATATTTTAGATATCGTATTTCAACATCTTGAGGGCCACCAGTTTTTCTCCAGGCCGGCGGCCTTATCTTCAAAGGTCAACAGAGAGGTTTTTTTAACTGTTAGAGACAGTAACGTTTATCATTTTTTGTTGAGTTTATTTTTAGTTTTTTTTTTAGTATGCTTCTAAATGTAACATTATAATTTTGTAAGGTTAATTTAAGTAAAACGGAAAATGGCCAATGCTATTCGTTTAGATTGCAATCAAATATTCATTTGATTTTCATAACAATTCTTCTAAAGTATTTTATTGAATATATAACCTTTTCTTGCAGCTTATGGTTGGATATGTCAATTTTTATAGTTTTTTGTCCATAATTTGCAGATATATTTTCTGACGTGTGTTTTTCTGATGTTTCTGAATGTGAAATGTTTGTTTAGTTTATTTAATCTTGAGTTTCAAGTTAAAACTTATTGGTACCCATTTTGTTTTACAGTTTAGCTGTATTTCGCGTTTCTAGTTTTTCTTTGTCAAATTGGTATAATTTGTTATCTAATTAATTTCTGTCGTTTATCTATCTATTTTGATCTGCAATTTTTTATTTACCATCTATATACTTACCCACCTCAATAAAGCTGGCTGACTTGAGCAACGTGTATTGTTTCGTTGGGTATTGTGTACGAGAATATTAGTTATAAGTTATTATCAACATTTGTCAGCTTTTTCGCGACAATGTTACCAATACAAAAAAAAATGGTTGAAAAATAATCAATAGGTTCTGAGATACTTTAAGATAAGATAATTTGTTTATTAAAATTTACTATTTTTTCAATTGCAAAAACGCGGTTGTTGTCAATAGAGTATAACACTTTATAAGATCCCTTTTCCGTTCTTATTTTAATGTATATTTTTGACCAATGCGTTGAGAAATCAAATCAAATCAAAATGGCGTTTGAAAATTGTTCTAATTTGTTTATAACTTGCTTTTTTTTTTTAAACCGTGGCGAAAATTAAAAAATTTAAAATGCCGTCCGATATTCGTTCACACATTTAAAAATACATGGTGTTTCGAAAAGGTACGTCATAAATTAAATCACGCATTCCGAAGACAAAAATAAATTGATTGAATCCAACTTACCTAAGTACAAAAGTGTACACAAAAAAAGTTACAGCCCTTTGAAGTTACAAAATAAAAATTGTTTTTTTGCATTATCTCCTAAGCTACTTTGACATTTTGTAATAAAAATGGACGCGTTACTTTATTGTTCTGAAAGCATTTTTCATAAAAAAGAAACAACATTTTGAATACGTTCAAATCAAATAAATTTTGTGGCATCATTAGTTTAACACATTATTTTTAAAACTTTTTGCCTCATCACTTTTTTCAAAAAACAGTTGTTATTAAGGCCGTTCCTTGCGATTCTGGGCATAGCTAAATTCCAATGTAAAAGTTTATATCAAATAACGCAAAAACTATGGCAGATATTGGGATGATTCATTTTTATATGGAAGGTCTTAAAAAGTTCTAGTGAACTATTTGATTGTAAATTAATAAGTTGTTTCAACAATATTTTTTTTTCAAATATTTTTGGTTAAAATAAACGTCAATTTTTTTTTAAATAGGGCACTACAGAATTTGACCCACTTTTCGAATCTGTTTTTATTTTTAACATAAAGTGTAACACAAAGCAGCTATTTGGTATAAACTTTTTTAAAAATCTAAAATTTTGCTAAATGTAACTCTCTCTCGGTCAGTACAGGCTGTCCTTGTCGATAGTTTCTGGATTCTCGCCGACGGTTAGGTTTGTTATGTAAGAAGTATAATACGCTCTCGAGGGTGGGTCATAAATAATGTTGAATAACATTATTAGGGTTTATTCCGACTTTTGACAAACCAGTGTGTTAATTGTGTTTAAAATGGGTAGTTCACGAAGACGTTTATGTTCCGATTGAGGAAATTTTATATAAATAAGCAGTAAGTACCTATAATTTGATTAAAATTTTATATGAATAGAAATATTTTCTGTCGATTTGTGACATTTTCCTTCTAAATGTTTATACTGATTATCACAATACTATTATTTCAGTATTTGCTTATATAATAATAATTTATTATGTAGAAAAATTATACATTTATTAACAGTACATTTTTTGTATTTCAATCACAATTATTATTTTCTTTTCTTCTTTACATAAGCTTAGAGGAATACTCAAATATTTTGCAGTATTTGAATATGGAATTTGATTATTTATATTTATTGGAATATTTATTTTGAACGGTAAAGTTTACATAATATAAGAGGTTTGTTTCTTCACTTGCTTGTCCAGTCATATTAGTCCAGGGTAATAAGGATATTCTCGTGACACTCAATAATCCAGGTAGTTGACAACTTTTTTAGTTATTGTAGACCGATAAGAAGAAAACCTACCTGTTTCCTGCGTAAAGTTCGGAGCCGTTTTTTAATGATTAATAATTTAATGCAAAAAAAACGCGATTCTTTAGATTTTTTGCACTCCATTAGAAAGCTAAATATTTTTAGCTTCAAAATGCCGATTTTAATGTTGAATTTTTTAAGTGACCAAGCTTCAATCCCATACAAATGGGTAAAGAAAATATATCCTTCCATCCGTGTTTTCTAAGGTAATCCTCTCTTCTGGATTCCTGTAGGTGTTCATACAGGTACTTGTTTCAGGAGTCTACTGTCTTTCATTCATTGGACCTGTCCGTACCATTTGAGCTGCTTTCGTTGTATGCCATATATGACTGTACCTTCTATTCTCATACTTTATTGCATCCAGTTCGACAAGATATCTTTCTTCGATGTCTCTGTTAATCGTCGTGTTTCACAACCGTATAAATAAAGCATGCTTTTTACCACAGTTTCATGGGTTGTAGTGCTAGAGAGAGCATGTCAGCTGAGACAAAACGAAAAATAATCCTCCTTATTGCTTCCACTGGAATAAGCTTGACCGTTCAACTGGGCCCGGACTACCTCCTTCTAATTCTTTAAACTCCTGTTTTGAAATTAATAATACTCATTATTTACGTCTTATTTATTTATACGTCTAATTACCTATTTAGTTGTCAAAACAGATACATTATTACCTAAAGAAGTGAAAGTGGTTCAATTTAGAAATTATATAGTAAATAATAAATATTTGAAAACTGATGCACATATTCCTGCCGCGATTTAGGCTTCAAGTACTAATTTTATAAATCGCACTACTAATAGACGTAAATCCTTTCATTTTAATTTCATGAATTTTTTTATTCGCCAAATCTCAACATTTTCCATTTCAGAATATTTATCATCAAACTGTAATCTACGTTAAAAACCCAATTTGTCAGTAAAAAAGGTAACACAAGAAAATATAAGACATAAAAAATAAATACTGTGAGCTCAAAATATCTTGTTATAAACTATTTTGTAATAAAATTTTATAAAAGTTTGTCTTCGATTTGATTGTTATGATTTACAGGACAATTATTTGTTACCTGTATGTACTCTTGCTAAGTTGTGAATTAATTATTCAATAAATAATATTACTCTGGTATACTCGTATTATTCTAATTACCCCAAAACCGCACTGAATAGACGGCCGCCCGCTTTATTGTATAGATCCAAGACTTCATAACAATAGGGGGTTGTATAAGGTAGGTATAAAGCTAACCTCTAGTACAAGATGACGTTTAGAATATTCTTCGTGAATGGATTTTGTTTTCGTAAAGAAAGATATTTTTGAAATAGATATCCCTCTGAATTTTACCGATACAATTTTCGAGGATAAGCCTTAAGTTACGGCCCGTTTCATTAACCTTTAAAAAATTACGTGCAACTAAATAAATGGCTTAAATTAATAAACAAGTACAAAAATGTCTATAACCTCTATAAATACGATATTACAATAAATGTTCAAAATAACCCCCATTTTGTCAGAAAAAATCATATTTTTGTGATGAAATTGATTTGCAGCTTTAATTATTGTAACCCTCAATTGTTGTTCGTCCTCTATTGTTACAGAATACACTTTCTCTTTCATAAACCTCCAAAAGCAAAAGTCCATGGGGTTAAGACCTGGACTTCTAGGTGGCCAAGAAATAGATGCGTCACGACCCCTTCCAATCCACCGACAAGGACTGGTCGGTGGATATTCCCGGACTTCATTACTGTAATGCGGTGGAGCGCCATCTTGTAGAAACTACATATTTTGCCTTATTGCAATATTCACTTCTTCCAAATACTCTTGTAAATCGTTTGCCAAGAACTGCAAATAATTATCACCATTTAAATTGTTGGGAAGAAATACTTGGCCTATTAAATTGTTATCCACAATTCCTTCACAAACATTAACTTTGAAAATCCTTTGGTGATGAGTCGTTTTTTTGACGTGAGGATTTTCGTCGGCCCAAATGTGTTCGTTAGGATGACTTGTTATTTCATTTCTACTGAAGGTAGCTTCGTCAGTAAACAAAATATTTCTAATAAAATTAACATTTTGAGTATTTTCCATTAACAACCAATCGCAAAATCCAATACTTTTAGGATAATCTTCAACCAATAACTCTTGAAACGTTGTCAAGTAATAGGGCTTAAGCAGCTCATTGTTTCAATGACTTCTAAAATGTGTTCATCAGTTGCATCCATTATTGGACGATCACTATTGCCAGCAGCTTTTGGTTGGAATGTATCGGTTTCCCGTAAACGACGATCAATGGTCAGAAATAATCGTCTATCGGGTGTCGTCTATTTCCTTGACATTCATCTACGATATTCCCGATAGTTTATTGAAATCATAATTTAATCTCTTACTTAAAGTTAAATGAATATAAGCCATTGTAATATCAAAATTTTTAATATTAATCTTATTCACACAATAAATGATAGCTTCAAATTATTGACTATTATTGATGGAACTGTTTGTAATTATTGTATCCGTAGAAACTTGTAATTTTATGGCCAACTAGAAAAAAACTAGTTTTTCGAAAAAGTGATATTGTTAAAAGTTTTAAAAATAATGTGTTAAACTAATGAGGCCACAAAATTCATTTGATTTGAACGTAGTCAAAAGTTTGGGGGATTTAGGGGTGCACGCCACCCTTAAAATTTTTCTGTGCGCTTAGATTTTGTTGTTTTTTTTTTGTATGAAAAATGCTTTCAGAACAAGAAAGTAACATGTCCATTTTTATTTCAAAATGTCAAGTAGTTTAGAAGATAATGTAAAAAAACAATTTTTATTATGTAACTTAAAAGGGCTGTAACCTATTTTGTGTACACTTTTGTACTAAAGTAATTTGGATTCAATCAATTTATTTTTGTCCCCGGACTGCGTTACTTAATGTATGACATACATTTTTTAAACGCCCTGTATAAAGTATATATGATAGCTTTTCCAACTTTAAGAATTATTCATAATTTGTTTATTTATCAATATTAACATTTAAAACTGCGTGAGTACACCTATCAACCTTACTACTTAACAATGAAAACTAATTATTACGGTAGAGAAATTTAATGAAAATTTTTAGAATGAAAAGCGGTTGAGAAATTAGATCCAGGCGTTCAAAATTTGAACGCAAGACTTTAAATCTGCGTCGTCCGGAAAATATGCAATATATCCTATTTGCATCTAATAATAGACTAATTTCAATGTTTTTTTACTTCTTTTTCAAGTTTTTACTTCTTTGTAAGTTTTTTCTTTCAATGTTCTTGAAGAACAATTTCTAAAGTAAAAATTAAAACGTCAAATTTTAAAATGAAATTGTGGTGAATTCCCAATAAAAATAGTAAATTATATTGTATATGTATTCGATAATTAAAATAACAACCATACCTGCTAAAGCAAACGCCTCGCTGACACCTCCACCGACAGCCAGAGCCTTAAAATGAGCCGAATTGTAAACTAAACCAGCATTAGATATCTCCAAAATTTCTAGCTCCCGCTGATTCCTCACTTCGACCAATCTTAAGTTCTCGCTGGTGTCCAAAATCGCTAAGTGTCTTGTACCCAACCAATGCAGAGAGTTCATGGTGTACGGCACTTGCACTTTTCGTAATGGAAGCAACGTTATCCTATTGTTATTGTAGCCGTGCGTAACAACCCGGGTGTAGTGTAGCTCGTTGCCTCTACCCCAAGCCAGAACCGGCTGAAATGATTTACCGACGGAGACCAATTGCCAGGATATCAGGGGTAGAGAGGTTGATATTCGAGGTAGTTGTTGGCTGTAGTACACTTTTAACTTTGGCCGTACAGATATCACTATTACCTAAAAGAATTATTATCTAGTTATAGAATATTTAAAATGGTAATGTATAATGAGTATGCAGCTCGAACAAATTGGACAAATTAAGGAGATATAGTCTTTTGCAAGATAATCTAGAAAGCGCAAAGCTCTTTCAACTCAAAATGTCGGTCTGATTATTTTAAAATCACACATTTATACCAAAATACAAACAATTTTATTTATCTACGGTGAAAAGCAGGAACTCCTAAGTTATTTTTTAGAGTAGTTTTGAATTTAAGTAAAATGACACTAGCTACGACGTAATGTTTTATCTAAGAGTTCACTTGCGAGGTAATGCTCACATTTAAAATAAGAAAAACAACTCCAAACAACAAAGAAAATATTTGCAAAAAATTCGTGATAATAGACGACTTGGTAAAAAAATTTATTATACGGACGAAACGTGGTTGAATGAGATTCATACGAAATCCAAAGTATGGCAAGACTTGAATATTAAAAGTGCGTAACATGCTTTCATTGAGAGACTTTCAACCGGCTTAAAAGCACTTTCGGACAAAGGAAGACGTCTCATTATAACGCACATTGAAAGTAATACAGGTTTTTTACAAGGCGGTTTAAATGTGTTTACCTCAATCAAAACAAGCGATTATCATTAGGATATGAATTCGGATGTGTTTGAAAAGTGGTTTTCGTCTATACTCACTCTTGTAGATCCTGGTTCGGTAATTATAATGGACAATGCACCTTATCACAGCCGGAAAAAATACCGACTTCTGCATCTCAAAAGGCAGATATAATAGATTGGTTAAGAAGTAAAAATATAGATTTTGATGAATCCATGATAAAGGTTCAATTATTTGATATAGTCCGCGAGCATAAGAGTTCATACAACAGATTTGCAGTAGACGAAATGGCACGTGAGCATGGTATCACCATATTAAGAACTCCACCGTGTCATTGTGAATTGAATCCCACCGAGCTGATATGGGCACAAATAAAAAGTAAGGTAGCGCAAAAGGATACAACCTTTAAATTAAAAGACGTCAAATTATTATTAGACCAAGCCATACAAAATATAACCGCTTCCAACTGGCAGTCATGTATTAAACATACACAGAAAGAAAAAGATAACATGTGAGACGTAGACACGCGTGTTGATGTTCTTATCGAGTCCATGATCATTACTCCAGGAGAAGACAGTAGTGATAGGGAATTAACAACAGGAAGTGATTCATAAATATAAAAATATTTCTTTAAAATATTAATACAGTTCCAGTGATTTTTTGTTGCTACATTCGGAGACTACCTGTGAGATCCTTCGTCCTACCTGGTTATAATTTGCTAAGTAGGTATGTACCTAATAACTTTATTATTATTATTATGGCAAGTTTGTTTTTCACAATTGCAGTTTACATTAGGTTGCTGGGTCTAGAATTATTATTTTCTGTAAAGTAGTTGGTATTTACATTTGAATATGAATTTTATTTAAAAAAATAAATAATGTACATTCTACCTGCTAAAAGTCGATAAAGCGACTAAGTTATTTCGAAACTATTACTTATTTACAAATTCATTCACATTTACTTAAAACTCTCATGTAGAAATTGATTGTAAAGAAAATTTCAAAAAGAAAAACAAGGTTGTTTCGGGAATTCTATTAATTCCATTTTAATCGTATTTAATTGGAAATTCCTAGTTATTATATTTGTGTTCTTAGAAATTGCTCAATTTGAATGCTACTTCGTGTTTAATTTAAAACGTATATTATGACTGACGAGGGTTTTTCAAATGGTTAATCTGACAATTCATCTACAGTTTGATGTCTTAATGGTGGAAAATTTTATAAAAAGCAGTGGAAGATATTCTATTGGGGAAATGTAAGGCGATACAATAGATATTCGTTATTCTTACGTTTATTACTAAAAGTTTCGTTAATATTTTTAAGCTATTTTCTTTCTTGTTTGTTATGAATTTAAGATATTTATAAATGATAGGTTTTGTTTATTACAAATTATTACGAACCAGAAGTATATTCGTAAAATTTCATTATTATAAGGGAAGAAAGTTTTGGATTTAAAATATAATTTAGCACCGACATATAGCACGACACCGTAAGGTACAAGAGGACGACTTACGTAAGTATAATTTAGCATTTGAGATGTTGTAAAATAAACATGTACATATTTCTTAAACTAAAAATAATATAAATGAATGAAAATATTGTGTGTACATCTGGCTGACACAATTAATTATTAAGACATAATATTTTGAATATAATATTTTTACATAACATTTTAACAAAATATATCTAACATAAATTAACAATTTGACCGTTGACGCAAAAATATTTTTATGTGCAAGTTCCCTATTATTTCTCTTATTTTAAAAATATACACGCCACCATTGAACCACACGCGTCTCTCATCTCAGACCCCCCGGGGGTCTATCATTTCTATGCGATAACCTGACTATCCTATTATTGAATTTCGCCTATAAGCATTTTTATTAAACAATTGATGATAACAGAAATATTAATGCTATCTCAGGCGTTATTCCACACTGTATTATTATTTAATCCTATCCATGAAACTAAAAAAATAAATTTGTTGTTGCCACAATTACTTAGGAGGTATTATACTAACAGAACGACGTTATAAATAAACGTGTAATTATAAATTCAAGCTATAAGACTAAATTAAAATGAAAACACTTTTCTAAATTAAAGGGAATCTTACTTGTAAAATATTATAAGTCCTAAGCCAATATATAGCGACAAATAAGCTTAGAAAAGCAATTATTCGAATACACAGAATCACCTTGTTTACTTTCGGACGACTAAATCGGCAATTACGAGGTATGTCATCAACAAAATGGCTGAAAAAAGTTACAAGGGTCGTTTCCTGTAGTTTAAAGCCTTCCGTACATTTTTCCAACTTTAACAACTGGTAAATAGATGCAGCTACTGATTCTAGAGCAAAAACCTAGAATCATTTTATGCAAATTTGTCAGTTACGAGGTCCTGCCTTTCCGCCGTCGATATATAAAAAATAGAACATTTACCTTTGATAAGGTCGCCATAGCTACCAAAACATTGTTGTTGAGAAAATTCAAGTCGTGTCCTCGCACTAGCGGCTCAAAAACGCAAACTTCTCCTCTAGCACCTGAAAACAGACACTTGGAATTCCACGATCTGACTCCCAGTCTTCTACTAAACGAAAGAGAAAACACACACCCCGATGAGTCGCCGCATAAAGCCAAATTGCTGAGAAATGTGAATCTTAGTAACAGCACTGCTGTTTGAGGAGCATGTGCATCTGGTAATCTTCGAAGAATATCGCCCGTTGATGCATCTATCATTGAAATGAATCCTCTCTCATAACTAGAAAATGAAGTAAACATTTGTTTACATTACAAATTATACATTTAAGTTAAAAACTTACCCGACCAGAAGTCTCGTTGACTCCAAATTAAATGATATGGCTGAAATTGCACCCTGATCGATGGTGTTGGTATCATGACAACACCAACACAAATTCTGCTGGCAATCAAATGCCAGAATATATCCGTGTGATGTTCCCACTGCTACATAGTTTAAACTATTTGTTATTACTGTTGGCGACCCTGCATTAACTCTATCCTAAAACGGTAAAAATATACAATCATTACACAGGTAGTTTTCGATGTAACTTGGACATTTTCTCACTCTTTCGAACTATTTTGTAAAAGATTTATTATTTGTTTATTTAAATTGCTCTACAAACCATAAATACCTAGTACTCATACCTAATAAAAATTTCAACAACAAATAACAAGCGTCCTATTTAAAGTTGAGTTGCACTATCTCAAATCCATTTAAACACTATCAGTCATCACCTCATAAAGTCATCACCTCAGGGGCTCAGTAGCTCTTTTAGTTAATTATTTATACATCTTACCCAATCAACTGTTGTGTTATTTCCTGCGTATATAACTAATCATTTTTCTCTCCCATGTTGACAACTTTTCCAGATATAACTTTCTCCTAGTACATACCTTGCTTGCGAATGTGACTTTGACTCCTCTTACGAGGAGTCTTTTATCTCCTCTTATCTTTATATTCCCCATTGCTATATGGTTTTCAGCTCTAATTCCCTCGTTTATTTCTCCTCTATAATTCCTCTGATATTTCTCCTCTTCTCTTTTCTCCACTTCTACATATATCTCTATATTATAATAAAGTTGGTGATATTAGGACAAGGTTGATGGATCTTGGTAAAGTTATCGCTCAGTGCACTTATGACATAATAGTTCTGGTAGAAACTTGGTTGTCAACAGGGTTTGTGGATGTAGAAATTTGCTTGGGAAACTATAATATATGCAGATTCGACCGTCCCTTTAATACTAGTAACAAAAGTTGTGGGGTACAGTTCTAATTCTCATCAAGAATAGCATGAAAGCAAAACAACTAAAAACAAGTATTGCAGTGTGGAACATATATTTGTGCTGGATTTCTTTAATAATGTTTCAGTGATATTTGGTGCAGTTTACATATGTTTGCTTATGTTTTTTAAATAACCTTTAATTGAAATTGCAAGTTTTTGCATCAATTTGGAAGGACAGTTTTATTACTCCTATTTTTAAGAAAAGATGAAGAGAGGATGTGAAAAATTACCAACCTGTGGTTATGCTGTCTTTATCCCTAAGTTGTTTAAGTTCCTTCTAAGTAAACCATTGACTTTTTATTGTAATTCTCTCTGATTAGCCAACAACATGGATTCAGGAGTAGAAAATACATTTTGACTAATTTGATCATATACCAAGAGGAAATTTGCCATATGGCAAATATATACTATTTGCCATATGGATGCCATATATACTGATTTTTCAAAGGCCTTTGATAGGGTAAATCATGATCTTTTACTTTGCTTACTTAAATGGATTGCTAGTTATCTGAGTAACAGAGTTCAATATGTGAAGATAAAATCTTTGGTTTTATCTGCTATATCTGTTTTATCTGGTGTCCCTCAAGGGTCTTATTTACCGTTAAACCTATTCATTAATGATATAGCTTTAATATTTAACTATGCCAAATGTTTACTTTTTGCTGATGATTTTAAACTTTATATGGAGATAACCAATCTAGCTGATTGTTTTAAACTCAGGGGAACTAAACTCAGTATGTAGATGGTCTGCTTCTATCACATTATCATCAAATTTGAATAAATGTTTTAATATAACCTTTTCTAAGTCTATCTTTTTCAATATAACTGCATCAATACATTAAATAAAAACAATGTATGAACTAGTCCTAATTACTAAAGTATTTAAGGTATTTACAGTGATTGAGTTTGTATACAGGTGTATCTAGTATTCCCTATAGTTTGTGTGGATAAATATATGTGACTATTTAAATAATAAATGGTATATTATAGCATATTTTACGCTTTTTCAAAAACCTGTAACCCTTTTTGTTGCCGAGATCTAGCTATAGCTATGCTAGCTTCACCGTAAAGTTAGCATGATCATTGTTTCTTGGAAACAGCTGCAACAAAAAAGAGTTTCTTAACATAAAACTTTGGGAATAAATTAGCAATCAATTCCTTGTGGTTCAGCAATTAATTAGCAATAAAATGTGCCATCAAGATGGGCTATAGCCCTTTTCCATGCTGATATAGCTATGGCTATGCTAGATTCACTGTAAAATTAGCATAATCATTGTTTCTTGGAAACAGTTACAGCAATAAATTAGCAACCAATTCCTTGCAGTTCCCTCTTTGGTTAATATCTTAGTTTTCCAAGGGTCTATTTTGAGCTAGGAGACGATGGGGTAGTTGTGGGGATTGGTTACTATCCCAATCAACAGCAATTATTTATCAATAAAATATGCCGCCACGATGTACCATGTACCCTGTTTCCTTACTGAGATATAGCTGCTATGCTAGCTTTACTGTAAATTTAGCATAATCATTGTTTCTCTTCAACTGTTACAGCAATAAATTGTTTGTTGGTGTAAAACTTCGGCAATAAATTAGTAATCAATTCCTTCCAGTTCTCTTTTTGGTTGATATCTCAATTTTCCAAGGGTGTGCTTGAGCTAGGTGAGGATGGGTAGTTTTTGAGGATTGGTTAATATACCAATCAACAGCAATCAATTAGCAATAAAATATGCCGCCAAGATGGGCAATGTAACCCTTTTCCTTGCTGAGACATAGCTATGGCTATGCTAGCTTTACCATAAATTTGGCATACCCACTATTTTTTGGAAATAGCTACAGCAATAATTTTTGTTCTTTTTGTAATAAATTAGCAATAAATTATAGTATTGGTCTCAATTCAGCCTTATAAAATAAATATGCTAATTGTATAGACACATATCTCTGTGCTTTCTTTCTTAATTATGACATTGCTGTAATTGCAGGTAATTTATAATAAAAACTATTATTTGTTTACATTAAAGTTTTACTTACAGCTGCTGAAGAAATCTGGGAAGAAACACCTTGCAGAACACAATGATACAGCATAGAATGAAACTTATTAGTCATGCTCTGGAAAGAATGTAACGAAGCACTATCACTGGCCTCTGATTCCATATCCCACAGGATATTTTCAAGCGATGGAGGGGCAACCTGAGGTATGTCACATTCCAAGTCATCAATCTAAAAATTATTGCACTTATTATTGTATGACAATAAATTCATAGAAAATATATTGTATATACCAATTATTATGCTCAATTTGTAATACCAGCCATGATTCCTCATTTAAGAAGTGTACTTTATCAGCTCAATACACTTTGCACAAGTATTCCTGATTTTAAATAATTTATACTTGATAATTTTATTATACTTAACCAGAATCAGATAAGGGGAAAAAGAATAACTAATATTGAATTTTTTTATATGTAAATTTGAAATGCAAATACCACTACAGATATTGCAAAAGGTTTGTTATGTTCTCCAATTGTTCCAAATTTATTTATGCTAAAAATCATTACCATTTAAAATCTATTACAAACATTAATTGCCCAATTTGAGGAACAATTTGCAAGTGTACACCCATTGAAAAAAAAAATACATCAAAAGCTACCTCCTTAAAATCCAAAAGGGATTCATCTGAATCTTCGACGTGAACATCTTCGCTTTCCGACCCCATTATTTAAAAAATCTTAAAATTCCATTGATTTGCTTTTCCTGAAACTAAAATTTATTTATCTCCTACCGGGTGTTTCTGTTTTAGTTTTGGATTACATCTGTCAGAAATTCGGTGTCAGAACGAAGTGTCATTTATGACGTTCGACGTTCTTGTCAATGCTGGAATTTGGGAAGTGTTTGTCCAGAGGTGGGGATTATTGAAGTGGATTTGAAAATATATAATAATAGAAGAGCATTTTTATTATTATTTACTAATTTAGGCTTAAATGGTTTTTACCATGACAATTATTGTATGTAGTTTTTGTTTAAACACAATTGCAGAATTGAACTGATCTCCACACATAAGACATTCAATTTTAATTAATAGAATAAATTCTATTAAGAAATTTTTAACAGAGAAATGATCCCTCCACATTTTAAACGGTGGTTCTATTCTCGTCTACAAATATTGTACTCCACTATTTGAACGTATTACCATTGTTTAAAAAATTACTATATCAAGCACTGTTGTTAATTTTGGGTTGTATTCAGATATTTTATATCGAAAAAACATTACATATACATTATATGGTTAAAATTCTTTAACGATTACAAGACACTAAGACCTAATAAGACAAATAATGATTTAATACCTAATAAGACACGAAATACGAAAAACATAATATTCCTAAACAAGAGAACAAATAAAATATCATTACAATGAGCATTCGTTACTTGACATGAAAAAATAAAATAAAATTTGTTGTATTTTTTAACATTCTTTTAAAACCTTTTTTCCCATAAAAACCCCCACCTCTGGTAGAAGGGCTGGTATAAAAAATATTCTATTTCTGCAAAGTTTATACCGACAGTGCCATCTATGGATGATTGAGAATATTATGCAGACAGATTTGTCACTTGTCAGTACTGTCAAAACCACCTGTAAATTGTAAATAAATATTAATTAATACTCAAATTACAATAGATAATATTTTAAATGGAGGAAAATAATTATTCTTACTATTTAGAGTTATCCACAGATCCAATAAGATTTGAAGCAGTAAACCAGTTGACAAATGTGTTTTTTGATGATTCAAATAAAGATGTAAGTTCCTTTACTATTACTTAGGATAATGATATTCTTATACATTTTTTAAGGTATTTGCTGTGCGGTCTGGAGGAGTGATGGGTGTAGTGGTAAAAAACGCAGACGAATTTCAATCTTTAGACTTTAGGATGGAAGATCACGGTCCTGTCTTGTCCATGAAATTCTCCCCTGATCACAAAATTCTTGCTGTGCAAAGAACCAGCAGTTCTGTAGAGTTTATGAATTTTAATGGCACAACACTTGATGTCGAGTATACTCAGGCTTGCAAAAAGAGTTCTAATATATTAGGATTTGTCTGGTCTCAAGTAAATGAAGTTGCCTTTATAACAGATCATGGAATAGAGTTGTATATGATTATACCAGACAAGAAGTCTTTGAAACATTTAAAAACTACCTCGGCGACAGTTCAGTGGTTTGTGTGGTGTAATGTTAATAAAATTGCACTGTTAGCTTCGGCTCATGGGTCACATTTACTTCCTGTTGTTATTAAACAAGGAACAATTAACAAGTTATCAAAAGTTGATAGTAAGTATCAATCTAATGTAAATATTGTAAATATTTTATTACAAGTTGACCATTTAAACCATTAGTGACAGTACAACTACATAAAATATTTGATTTTGAAATATATTTCTAACTTGCTATCACTTCTCGTAAAATTAAAAAATCCCCATCAACTTTTATATTTTTAATTTGTACATTAGTATAATGTACTGGAGTTCAATGTAGTATACTAATATAAGGTACCATACATAAAAAATTAATATTTTTTGAATTATTCATCTTTGACAAAAGATTAAATAACAATATTTTGACCATTGATACTTTTCCATTTATGTACAACAAATTAAATGTAAAAGTCTGTAGATATTATTTACAAAAAATTCTCTATTTAGAAATTAGATATGCAAATATCAAAAATAACATTCCTACTCTTTATGTAGTATACAGGTTTTCAAGATCACAGATTTTCAGCCACAGTTATCAGACAGAAATTGCAATATTATCTCTGATAGTGACATAATTTTTAGCTGAACCAAGTAGAATGGCCCTTGAGAGAGACATAACTTTAGGAACACTGTATGGTACACCTGCAGTCTTAATATTAAGGCATCAAAATGGACCAAATGCCGCTGAAGTTCATATTCACACTTTAAATGGACCAGGACAGTCCCCACTTAAGACACATGTTTTAAAGTTGGGGTTGTCAGGGCGGTTTGCTATTAATATTGAAGATGACATAATTTTAGTCCACCATCAAGTAAGTTCATTTGAATTTTGTCCAGTTACATAACATTTAATTTATATTTCTCTCTGTCTATACCATGAGAAATATATATCAATATAAGGTTGAATGTTCGAATAATTAAACTTTGAGGGTATACAAGGCAACTATCGAACATAGTGATTAATTTAATCTTGCCCAAGTACTTTCGATCAATAGATCATCTTCAGGGGCATTTCGTCAGTTGTGGCCTATCCGACATAGTAGAATGTCATAAATGTAAAATTTGGATATAACAATACAAAGTACAATACACTAAGACAAACAAACACTTTAAAATTTTTAAGGAGAAGCTACATGTTGTATAGAAGTCGGAGACAGAATGATAGAAAATTTTAAAGTGTTTGTTTGTCTTAGTGTATTGTATTTTGTATTGTTATGTCCAAATTTTACATTTATGACATTCTACTATGTCGGACAGGCCACAACTGAAGAAATGCCCCTGAAGATGATCTATTGATCGAAAGTACTTGGGCAAGATTAAATTAATCACTGTGTTCGATAGTTGCCTTGTATACCCTCAAAGAAATATATATTACTATACTGGGTTTGCTAATCCGAACTGTCTAGTGAATTTAGTAATTATTTTTTTGCGAATTCAGTTACTTTTTGACAGACTAGAAGTGGCTGGAAATTACTATACAACCAAGCACACATGCTAATAGCTTATTTCATTAGAGTATTTCATCGACCTTTTTTGCACACTTATACTAATATTCTAGTATTCCTATCAGAAACTAGTTTTGGATGACCTGGAATTTTACCTTTTTTATCTAACATACTTTGTTATGTGGATTATGTAACACAATATTGAGTATGTTTTGTGATTATATATCATTTAAAATATTGCTGATTCAGCGTTATCATCACTTTAAAAAAATAATAAATTAGCTGGATACTGTTCAAATGTTTTCGTTTATTGAAACTATTCTCAAGAAACTCAAGCTAAATGTTACCAAAAACTTTAAGTTGGTTACCTACATTTGGCGCAACTTAACGATATAAACTAAATTAGCCTAACTTTTTTCATAAAATATATTTTTTTATATCTTAATAGAAACCTACTTTCTTCATATATGCAATAAATTTCTAAGCTAATTAAATTTTTGACGCTGTTATCATTTAAGTCAGTCGTTAATTTCCTTTTGCGACTTTTCTTCTTTAAAGTGAGGGATTTATTAGGTCATATTTTATATTTACGCACACTTTGTTCTGAGCTTTTCAGACATTTGGATGTTAACTGAAATGTTTTTGTTATTAAGAATATCTGTAACATTTATCCAAGTCGATGAATACATTTTAATGATCAACTTAACTCAACAGAGTTTTAATTTGGCAAAGAATGTTAGGCTTTTTCAATAAACCTTTGTGCAGCTTGTAATTTGACAGCATCCTTACTCATCTAAAAATATTAACTTCTAATGAATATTTTATCATATTTGTTAAAGGAAAACTTACCAACGCATTAGCTGATGTAACAAATGGAAAACTTTGAATATCCATAATAATAAAATTCAAAATAGAACTACAAATTAACTAAATAGAAATAACAAAAGAATTAAACAAAAATAATAAAACAATAAAACTATATTAAATTAAATAAACAATGCAAATAATACAAATATTTCTTACGATATGTTAAACTGTAATAACTCACATTTTATATTTTAAATATACAGGCACAATTTTATGGGTTTAGTATACACTTCCACTATTTAGAATAATTCTTCTTTTTTCAAAGGAAGAAGTCTGCAATAGTAGTTTATTTGAGCTATTAATACTGAGAAGTAGAAATTTTTGTGTTGTGGGTTTCCGACTATGAATCTGTCAAAATATGCCCGAGCCAAGCGGATGGAATGGACCTAACTCTATCTAATGTTGATATTTTCAACATATTACAAAATCCTTTACCTGTATTACACTTCCTCCTCTACCAAAACATTTTTAAGATATATAGGAAATTGAATTGTTGAGATTTTTTAGGCATAGCATATTTTATGAATAATAATCAAATTTTAGTTAAGTTAGTGACATGTCATGCCAAACTGCATTTGATACAAGTTTATGCTCCTATGGCGAATGCCGACGAAGAAGAAGTGGAATTATTTTCACTTTCATTAAATCGCGATAGTCATAGGTGATCTCAATGCAAAGACAAAGTGGAAAATGTATAGGAAACTATGGTCTGGGAAGTCAAAACGAGAGAGGAGACTGTCTGTTTCAATTCTGTCAAGAGCAGAACTTGATTATTACAAACACATTTTTCAAGTTACCAAACAGACGACTGTATACATGGCGATCGCCCGCAGATACATCGGAGAAAGTAGTTAGGAACCAGATAGACTACATTATGATCAATGAAAGATACTGTAATGCTGTTAAAGCATATCCTGGATCAGACGTGGCCTAAGTGTGAGGAATTTCGACCCATAAATATGGTATTACCATACGAAAAACTGCTGGAATTATGTGTAAATGATCAAATAGTGGAGTACTTGGAAAGCAATAATGTGTTAACTTAATTCCAAGCAGGGTTTAGGAGAGGAAATTCCTGTGAGAGTGCAATGCAGACGGTTTTGTTTGACTGGAAGGGTGCGCTGGAGTGCGGGAAAATGATTGGTGTGGTTTTCTTATACTTTAAACGTGCATTTGAAACCATAAACAGACAACTGCTATTGAGAAAGATGGAAAGGTATGGCTTTGGTGAAAAAATTATAAAGTGGTTTCAAGAATATTTGACTGATAGAACACAAGTGACAAAATATGGTGCCGTTTCATCGGCTCAGAAGTCTCTGTATGGTGTGCCACAGGGAACTGTGTTAGGTCCTACTCTTTTCATACTGTATATAAATGATATTGTTGATGTTGTTAAAAAGTGTAAGGTACAGTTTTTGCCGATGATACTGTGATATATGCAATAGGGGATAAGGTAGATGAAATAATCGATATAATAAATGAAGAGATATGTAATATATTAAAATGGCTCGATAATAATTCCTTAAGTCTTAATGTAACTAAAACAAAAATGATGCTTATAAAGAATAAAAATTTTAAATTAAATAACATAATAAAAGATGTAAAAATTAATAATATTGCTTTGGAGAGAGTGGTTCAGTATAAGTATTTGGGATGTATTATAGATGAAAATTTAAGTTTTGTTGAACATTTTAAGTTTGTTACAAACAAAATAGCAAAAAAAATCTATGCATTGGGAAGAATGTCAAAAAATTTAAGTTGCTGGTCTAGGTTGACCATATATAAATCGATTATTGCTCCCCATCTCTATTTTTGCTCTACATTGCTGTTTTTAATGAATGCTTCTTAAATGAACGTACTGCAGAAAAAACGAAATAAAGCCTTAAGGATAATATTAGGATGTAGTGTATACACTAGTAGAACTGACATGCTAACAATGGCAAATGTTTTAAGTGTAAGACAGACAATTGTATGTAATAGTATGATATTTGTTTATAAAATGTTAAATGGTCTGATACCTGTGCATTTGTGTAATAATTGTACCTTTGTTCGAGATGTACATGAACACAACACACGTTCTAGAAATAACTTTTATCTGAATAGGGTCAACACTAATTTTGGCCAGAACAATCTTTTTTATAGGGGATTAAAGCAATACAATGAATTACCGGAAAACATTAAGGCTTCTGGAAACAATTTAAAAATTTATGTAAGATATATCGCCTTCTGGCAACAATACCAGGACAACTCAAAAAAACGTGTTTCGAGAAAATCGAGTTTAAAGTTTTTGGAATTTTGTACAGCCATTTTATGCTTTGAGTTATATACGTTTTTGACTAAAACTATGTTCTTTGTTTCAGTTGATGTCAAAGATTGCTTTTCAGTTCATTTTAGCAATCTTGTGCTATCACTCGATTTAATAATTAGCAATTAATTTAAAAAATTTTGAGTTGTTCCAGTATTGTTGCCAGAATTATTTCATTATTATGAAATATCTACTCATTCTGATATCCCATTTAAAGAGTAACAGCATAAATAGAAATGATGAATAAAAAGTAGACGGTAGTTTAATAGTTTTATTAAAAAGTTATAATGTTCACAAAGAAATTTCAAGAGGCCAAGCATCAGAAAAATTGTGTGTATTATTAATTAATGGGGTACACAAACTTGGTAGCTAAACATAACACTAGGATCACTTCATTTGACTGCCTTATTAATTAATAAGTCTTTGTAAAAACTGTGATAGGTAGAGATAATGAGATTGTCAGAGACTAGAGACATCAAATCTTTTTTCTTGTTCTCAGATATTCCCACCGGTTTGTCATACGCCGCTTTTTTGGCCAGTTTTTTATTACATTAATTTTATCAGTAGTAGTCAACTGGTTGCAATTCTTGCGCAATTTTAGCTTCTTTTGGTTATGTTCATCGAAAGTATTAACAGTCTTGAAGTCATCTAAATATGATAATGTGTAGAGGAATTCAAAAGGTTTTTCTCTGAGAATGAAAAGGTGTCAGAATCAATATTCTTATTAAAATTTTTGCCGATTTTTCCTGTCAAATCCTTGAAATCGATAAAATCGTTGAATGCAAATTCTATTACACGATACAGTGGAGATGTCTTTTTCGCACTTTTCATTAGCTGGTAGTACTGGACCGGCACATAAATGGGTCCAGTTTTTCGAGTCCTCCTTAATTCCGCCTCAATCGTTGAATGAACCGAATCACCCTCGTTTTGAGTGTGCCCGGAGATCAAATATTTATGGGAGATGCTTTTTATATTACTGAACTGTGTAATGGCGTACATGTACATGCTCAACAAGAATTTATTTTTTTGTTGTCCGCAGCAGTTGTCGGTGAAGAAAATGAACTCTATATCTCCTTCTGCGTTCATAGCTCTCTCTTCAATAAATTTAAAAATGCATGTAGCTATTTCATTGGCACCTCTGTGGGCATCACCCTCGTGCCAGACATTACAAATAGCTTGTTTTGTTTTCAAGTCA